GCTAGGGACCCTGGACTCATGTTGTTGCAAGTGATGTTGCATTAAGGTTCTCAGGCAGAGCACTTAATTCTCATTGTGCCAAGAAAAAGAATAAATGACATGTGACCATAAGCTGTCTCATGTGCGAAGGGCAGCAGTGCTTCTGATCATTTCCTGATGTTTGATAAGCTCAAATAGCTATGTGAGCCAGTCTCGTATGCAAATATAACCAGTGCAAAAATAATCTTTTGTCAAAACAAACATTTCAATTCATTTCCCCAAAGTTCTTATCAGGCATCAGTTTGTGTAAGTGAATGACTAAAGAGTACAGACATCACTTACTTGACCAGATTTTGACTTTGAGAATCCCATCATGAGATTTGAGCCTTTAATGTCTCCATGGGTATATTCATGACAGTGAATATACTCCAGAGCATCAATCTTGCAACAGAATTTTAAAAAAAAAAGAAAAAACAATTTTAAAGAAACTCTGTTATAAAGCACTAGAGTGAATTTAATACAAGCATGGATCATCATTGACCTAAGATATAAAAAAGAATTAGAAATCACATATTAAGAGGCAGACATAATACGACTAAAAACAAAGCAGACTCTCAAGTAAATGGAGGAACTTACAACTCTCAGACCAAGCATCAACACTGTTGTCACATCAAACCTCCGCTTACTGTTTAGGAAAAGCTCATCAACATCTTTCCCAAACCTCTCCAGAACTAGAAATCGCAGCTTACTGGACTCATGTTCATGTAACCCAGAACCCAAAAACATTGGAACTCCAAGATGTTTTAGACGACGTGACTGACACCAGCTTTTAACTAATAAGAGAAAAAATTTTCCCAGTCATAACATGTACCCTGATGAGATTCTAACAAGACATTACCCTTTTATCCTCAGAGTGCCCAGTATTAAATATCTTGTTTAAGATATTTATTCTCACAAAGGTTGTGAGAATAAGGCCCTTAATCAATTAGAGACAGTTTTTTTTTAATTCAAAATTCAGAGACATACTTAGTTCTGGCTTAGCAACACGTTGATAGAATGCAAGTTCTGTAAATAAAGGGCCATTGGTATGTGGCTCCTGTAAAAAAGGAAAGGATATTACAATCAAATGGCCTGAGGAAGTAAGAAATCTCAAGTCTCTAATCTAAATTCATGTTCCAAATGCAAACTTGATCTGCCCATTTGATCTGTCTCATTTGGCATTTAAGTTCTGGACTCTTATGCACTCAAGAGTAAAGGTATAACAATATTGTAATTGACCAATGGTGCTATCAGCATTAGAACATTCAGATATTAATAACATTCTTACCACTTTAACAACATGTTCAGCAGTTTCAGTAACAGGTGATCCACTATCTGGAGAAGCTGTTAAAAATAATCAAACATGATTTTATACCATTTGATTAAAAGTAATATACCCAATACTCTACCCAATGCTGTGAGGGAAAGATTTCAATTCAAGCAAACTTTTGAATTTGTGAGTCCATACAGTCAAATATGGCCCCCTACATCGACCAATGATAGTGAACATACCGATTGAAAGGCTCTAATGATAAATGTTTTCTTCTTGGAAGGGCTGAGGAAGGGAGACTCATAACTGCCAATGTGCTGATGGAGGATATCCTGAGGAATCCGTTAAAACAATTTATACGCATCATTTTTTTCATACCAACCCATTCTGCAATTAAACACTCTCTTCCCAAATTATCATCAATAACAACATTGCAATGTGTTGAGATAATGCGGCAAAATCGCAAAAAAATCAAACACGAAACCAAAAAAAGCAAAGTTTCAAATGCGCCATAAATCACCAACAAGTAGTTCACATGTCAGATATATTTTACCTAAGTAAATGGCACCAAAACCACCCCATCCTACCAACTCTCCCAAACGCCACTTTTTCTTGGTGAGGTCTGTCAAGACGGTTCCTGGTGGCAATTTAACCATTCCTCGGGGCTTGCGAGGCTCTTTCTTCACCGGTACAGGCCCCTTAGCAGCAGGTGCCTTCCTTTTCCCAAGCTTAGGCTTTGAAGAGCTCATTTTACGCCAGTTATCGCTATGAGTGTGTCGATAGTCTTCCGTTCTTCCTAGACATCGGTTGGAAGGTCTCGTTGGAGTGGTCCCTAAGCTCCTTTCGATTTCCCGCCATTCGCTTTATCCATATATGACTAACAGAGGGGCATTTTGTTGCGCATGTCCTGTAAATTTTAGATTGATGCGACAAACCGCTAGCATGCGCCTGCGTCGGTAATCGTGAAAGAAAAGAAGCAGGAAATACTTCGGAAAACAACAATGGATCGAGTATTTGAGACAACTTTTCTTGTCGTTTTTCCCACCGTAACCGATGGAAGCGGTTAAGTCTTAAAATTGTTGTGTGGTCTGTGGAAGGAAGTTATTTCAAAAAGCAAAAGATTGTACAAACAACTTCGAGTCTTTTCTTGTAATTATTGGGCGATCGATGTAGATGATGTTATTTGTAGGGGATGCAAAAGGCCTGTCGAAGAGCACAAACGTATTGGTTGGTATACTTTTATCGTGTCATTGCCATCTCAAGTTATTGTTGATCATTTGAAGTACTCACTTTCCTGTGTGCGTCTCTTAGAACTTCAACTGTACTGATAGTGCAATGTACTTCCAATTTTAGCAAAAAATTAAAGTTTACAGAAGTTGATGTTTTATTTCAAAAGCTTTTTTTGGCGAGAATCACAACCGGCGGGGCCGATTACCAAAACAAAAAGGGTCAATAATAATTATGAATTTTATCGGAGTAAGGAAAAATCTTTTCAATCATTAGTCTCAAGAAATGTCATCAGATATGATCAATGATGTGGGGAAATTGTGAATTAAAACAAGTACTAGTTTGGGCTTCAAGTTTTAATATGAATAGTTAAATCAATTATTTCCAAATAAAAATTACATTCATTTTATCATTTCAACTGCACAACAAAATCGTATACACTCTTTGCAACCTTATTCTCCAACCCCTTAAATTACAAGAGTTAGGTGGCAACTTGAAGGGCTGAAAAGACTCTTATTACATACTAAACAAAAAAGAATTAGTAGGGCTGATATTTAACAATGAGGATAAAAAACAAAATATTTCGAAAAGCCTTTTTTTTCCTGGGAACAAGACTAAATGAGGTCAGATTTAAACTAATGTGGAGAGGTTCATGGATCTCTAGGAAAACGGATGATTTACATTAATGAGATTTGAGAGAAATGAGACTTACCTCAAAAGGGGACTTTGACATTGCATATACTGCAGTAATGGGCATTGGCTTGGATGCCTATATAAAGGAAATTTATAGTTTTCTAGCCAGGGGTTTAGCTGTGCCCATTTAATGGCAGACAAATCATATCTCAGACACTTAAGAAATATAATAGCTCTCAGCAGAAGCTCAAACACTCTTAGGGAACATGACAATATTTCATCTGATAACTCTTCATATTCTTTTCCAATGAAATCTGGACAAAACTTTCAAAAACTTTATTGATAATTTTACAGTTGCAAAACAAGTATAAACACAAGTTGCATATAGCCTAAGCTAGTTGAGGCAAGTTGTCGGGAGAGAACAAAAGATCGATAATTTATACCAGTAGTAAGTTTCTGGTACTAATGACAATCTCTTGAATGCCAGCTTGCCACAGTAAATGTCGCACCTAACCAATCTGTTAATTAAGTACCAACTGTATGAAGTGGAGTCACTTCACATCTCCCTAAACAGCAGAGAACATAAAAGTTAATTCCTATCATCAGTCTCAAATAAGAAATAAAAATTGAAAGATCAAGACATTTCTGACAAAGTTAAATGTAAGTCAAACTGGTTTGATGACATTTTAACCTGAAATTCGTTTTTAAATATGACAGAAATACTGTAGTTAACATTCTAAAGGAACAAGGAGTTCCAGCCCCTTGAGTAATTATCAATTTTTTGTATAACTCGTCTCATATTTTAAGAACCACAGAAAGTTTGATAATTTTAATCTGCGAGTTTTATAGTACACTTCGACTCGAAATTCATTTCTTGTGGCAGAAGCATTCTACCAAAATAAACAAGACAGAATGAAGCTGACGCCATTCGTTTCGAATAACACATGAACATGATGAAAATGGCACCAGTTTAAATTCGTGAGACAAAACTCACGCATTTTTTGTGGTAAATGAACTGGTTAGACCGAAAGCTAAATAAATAAACAGTGAACTAACAGAAGTGAGGGATTTGGGGGTCATGTGAAAAACAGTTTTGCCGAAGTTTATCCTCTAATTTTCTTTTCAAACCCACAAAGGCAATTAAAAAAATCTCACCAAAACACATCAAGAAAATAAGATAAAAACCGGAGATGATTGAAGCAAGACTATAACCGTTGTTAAGACACATGCCTACATACCATGTGACTTGGAAAATCCACCTCTACATCCCAAAAACAAATTATCCGAAGGTTGTAGTAAAGCAAGTCAATCCTGAAGTTGGAACATTTTTTAAGGCCTTGTGTCCTAGGTGACCACAAAGAAAAAGAAAAGACGATGTTATTTGAGGTGATTTGAAACTTGGGGGCCACCTCGAACTTTACGCAATTTTATTTCAAAGATCAAATTCTAAACTACTGTCTATTATCGTAACGAGTATCTCACGATCGTTTCCACATACAACTTCGTGATTCATAGAATTAGGACATCAACATCTTAAGACTAACCTTGAAGATTTGTAGTCTCATATGCACATCTTGATCGTCTGTAAATCACATCTCAAACTTCAAGTTTTCGGCCCTTTTCTGCGTTTTGTTCGCACTTTGATCATTAAAATATCCTCATCCGAAGAGCCAGCAAATTCCACGAGTATCCACAAAGTTAGAAACAGTGGTAAACTTGTCATAATCTTTCATCCCTCTCCAAAAGATATAACAAAAAGGTGTCGATCGCCCAGTTGAAAACCCGCGAACGCGCGCTGAAAATATCGAAATGGCGCCAAACGCGCCGAACGCGCCAAACAAATTGTATTGGCGCATGCGCAAACCAAAAGTCCCCGCTATCCCTCTTATACACGAGATCCACGAGCACACCTAAATAGGGAGTCAAGTTGTAGGTGTCTTCGACTGTCTCTGCAGAAATTTTGGGCTCCATCTTTGCGAAATTAAGGTAATATCTCGTTCGATTCATTTCATATCGCATTAGCTCCGCATTCCAGAGTTAAAATGCCTCTTAAGTCCACGATGGCGACGATCGATTTCAGCAAATGTTGATTCAGCACTTCTTCCGCCCTCTATATTTTGTTTGGGAAATTGCACATTTAATCGCCTCAATTTACCCAAAAATCGTTTAGAACTGTAGAGTCCTCATCTATTTGATCGATTTTCGACATTTTTATATCACTACAATCGATCTATTAGCCATGAGGATGGATCGACGGTTGCCAGAATTTACAAGAATGGTAGCCGAGCCAGATATCGCAAATTATTTAGATATGTGAGACCAAAACTATTCCGCTCATTGCTTAATGGCACATTTAAGTGCTTAACGTGCAAACCAGATACATCGATCGGCTATCAATCGAGATATTGATTGAGACTTTTTCACGTGACACACATGCATACAAGCTTTTCGAGGTAGACCAGTCAATCCTTCGGGAACTACTCGATATTGTTAAATAATGCAGGTGGTAGTTCAAATGAATGTTTCTCTTCTGGACTGGTGTTGTAAACACGCAAAGATCTAGTTGCACGCCTTTAATCAGAAAGAGCGGTCTTTCACTTTCTAATTTAACCACAACATCTTTCTTTTTAGCATGAGTTCTACTTCACAAAAACACAGAAACTTTGTGGCGGAGCCTATGGGTGAAAAGCTTGTGACTGAGCTTGCAGGAATTGGTCCAGTCCTGGGGGAAAGACTGACCGAGAAGGGCTTTGACAAGGCCTATATTGTGTTGGGCCAATTCCTTCTTCTGAAGAAAGATCAAGAAATGTTTATGGAATGGATTAAAGACACATGTGCAGCTAACAAGAAGCAGGGATCAGATTGTCACAATTGTTTAAAAGAATGGTGTGATGCTTTCCTGTAAGAACTTCCTGATAATATACAACATAACCTTTATTGTGTTTAAATGTAAATGGTTGTTTCATTTTCTAGGGTTATCACTTCATAGTAGCAATTTCATTCACCTTATCAAATTAATTAAGCAGATAACTGAAAAACAACAATAAAAATTAGTTTTGTTATTAATGAAATGGTGTTCTGTTTAATGATGTAATTTAGCAATGTATTTTCAAGTCATTAAAGAATGAAACAATCATGTAACTTTTACATCACAAATATATTGTTCTCCTGGACTCTGAACATAACATTAAAAAAATTTCCTGAACATTGTTTATCACCTCTAAAAATAATTTCCACTTTATATGTAATTCAATTCCCACTCCCTTCTCTATTATTGGTCTTCATCCCCTACTCTCCATTCCCTTCCATTTCTCCTTCTCCTTTCTCTCTCTCCATTTGTTTGCATTGTAGACTTGGTCTTTTTGGATGATCACCCTCTCACTTCTACATACTTGATGATCAAGTGGGTAGAGCATTATACAGTGGACTGTCTAGCGTGCATTTGTCTCTGACATGATCTCAGTAAGATTATAGTCTGTGGTCCTGACTGGGATTGAAGTCAGCCTTCATTTTTACATCCTTAGATGGAACAGATATAAGCAAAATTTAAGGGTAGATCTTTCAATGCAAAGATAAGTAACAAGAAAATGAAACATTTTTGACATCTTCAGAATGTTATTGTCAAGTGAAAAGCTTAGCTCAGCTCATGCGTAATAGATAGATCTTAAACACAAAGAGGTGTGAGAAATAAAGAGGGTAAGTTTCTAAAGAAACTGGTGCTGCATCTGTGGAAGAGTCATAACAAGGTAATTTGGTATTATCAACTGAGTTGATAAATTGTAAATTGGCCATTGAGAAGAGTTTTAAAGCTCATTTGTCAAGCATTGGCCCTTCATCAGAGTGAGCATGCCATAAATAGGTTGGCCCTGCCCCATGGTTTCAGCTCAAATAATAATTATACTGTGGTGATATTTCACAACGGCAACGGCGAATCGTTACGAATTTCAAATTTACCGCCACTGTCAAATATTGACATTGTGGCGACCATACCGCTGACGAGTAGCCAAAATGACCCTGGGGTCGAGATCGTTTACACATGGAATACAACGTTGTAACCGCTGAGTTAGGAAATGCGGGCTCCAGCTTAGCGCATGACAAATTAGGAGTAGGGACCACAGTTCTACTGGACGTTTTGGTAGTTCCTTCGTTTCTTGACAGTGTGAACCCTTCAACTTGAATTTGTGGTATCTATTAAATATGCCGTCTGTAGATGGTGAAGAAAATGGCGAGGAGGAGGTGGAAAGGAGCCCTAATGAAGACGAGAACATGAGTGAAGACGAAGAGGAAGAGAGCAGCCTGAGTTCCGACGAATCGTCTTCCGAGTCCAGCAGTTAGTGCAGACTTATTGACTTTTTCTTCCGCGCGATTTTGCTCTTTAGTGTAAATTGTTTTGCCAGTATGTTAGCTTATTCTTATCTAAATTTCTTTTTGATTTTAGTCGACGAAACAGAAAATGAGAGAAGAAGAAATGAATGTCTTAATGACATGGCAGACCTGGAAAGACAATTTAGCGACCTGAAAGAACAGTTAGTTTGAATTTACTACTTGTATTAATTTGTTAAAAATAAGCTGTTTCTATGACGATTTTGATGAGCAGGTAGTAGCAAAGTGATACTCCTTTTTCAGGTTGTATCGAGAGCGCATCAGCCAAGTTGAGAAGAAGTTGGATGAAGTACAATCTGGTAAGTTTTCTGGGGTAGGGTGGAGAATGATCTCTTTTCTTTCCCTCTTTCTCCCGCTTTAAAATAAAATTTTCCTTTTCATTCAAAAGTTAAGCTAGTGTATCCTAATTGTCTGGAGAGTTGTGTTTAGATGTTCCTTTTTTGACCCTTTAACTTCCAAAATCTGATTGTTAATTCTCTCCTCTTGCTGCTACACATTTCCTTTTAAATTTGCTACAAGAACTTGGTGCAAGATCAAGATAAAAAGTTCTTTTTGATAAGTTTAAGTATTCTCATAAACTGCTTGCTAGAAAATGTATGGATATCATTGGGAGAAATTCCATGTCAGTCACTTCTGGGAGTTAAGGGGTTAAGGATTATCCATCTGTTTCCTTTGTCAATCCTTCATCCTGGTTGTTCAAGTTTCTTCAATACCTTCCACCTCCTTTTAATAAAACTACAGGCATTGTTACCCTCTTCTTTCCCCACAATTTGAGTCTCTGTGACAACAGCCCCTGTGCACAAGGAAGTCACTTGAAAAAAAGGGTAGCAAGGGAGGTCACATATACTTTGAACAGTATTTCACGCATTACAAATCTAAAAGGAAAAATTACAAATCTCACCTTAACTTGCCTTTCTCTAAATTTTTTGTGTTATGGATTAATTTTGGCCATAATCACACATCACTTTTAAACCCTATTCCACCTTCTTGACAAAATTACAGTCAACTTAGTGATAAATGTTTTTTTCTTTCTCTTACTCCAACAGTTATCATCATCTGTATGAAACATGATATATATCCGATTTTTTCCATCCAATATGATTACATAATTGTGACTTGTATTAAATTGGTGTTAATCACCTTGATGGAAATTGCAGAACAATAAAGTGTATCACTGTGTGATTTTCTCATAACAGAATGTGCCATGGAGTACACAGGCCCTGTTGGTGAATTGAAGGAGATGTGTGAGATAAGAATTGAAGTTGCAGGTATGCATTAGTGATAAAATATTATTTTTAAGTTTGTTATTGCAGCTAGTGCCAGAATAATAAGAATGTCAGACTTCATGTACTTCAGAACTTGGTATTAGCTCCCTGTTGTTCTTACATTTACCACTACAAATGGCCACTTGGGTCCAGTCATTCAAAAGGCTGATAATGCAATCAAACAGATAAACTGCTATCCAAGAGGACAAGTGATAACAAAATGTACTGCACTATCCAGCAGAAAGCCGGTTATCTAGTGAATAGGGTTATCCACCCTTGAAAAAAAGATTTGCTACTTTTGTAAATCTAAAAATAGTACTGACTTGGGAACAAGAGAGATGTTAAATTTTCAAATCATCTATCCAATGAGAAAGTTTCATATATGAATGTAACAAAATGTTTTTAAATTCAACATTTCTGGGAAAAATGGGAACAGAGTGAAAGTATAAAATTACAAATGATAACCAAAGTAGGTCTCAAGTAAAGTTAGATGTAAAACCCAACACTTGTTTTTTGCTTCCCTGGTATATTTGCTTACAAGTTGTACCCAGGTGCTGCTGTTCAGTCAGTACTCCTTGTTGATTTGCAATTTTGTGTATCTCATTTTGTTATTTTTTCCAGGGATGTATGGGAAAGTGTAGTCATTACATGCAAACAAAAGTATTGTTAAAGCAATTTGCTACAAAACTAATCTGTGATTAATTAATTTTCAGGAATTTTACGAAACTGTAGGGTAAGTATCCTCAGTGACATAAATGGTGAAATGATTCAGTGGTTGTAACAGCTGTGTGTCAAGTTGTGATGTCTTGTCTTTTTGCAGTATATCAAACTAACCATTATCATGGTAATATCGTGAAAATTGATCATTGATATTTACATGTATTGAACACTGATTGGAAAAATAAATGGAACTTCTTAAAGAAACAATTTGACTGATCATGAAAATGTGAATAAATGTATTGATTGATGAATTGAGTAAACAAGGAAATTATGTTTGTGTTTCTTCCTTATAACTGTTGTTCTTTTAAATGACTGTAAATATATGAAAATCATATATATGAACTGCAGATTAATAAATGAATATGAAAGCGATCTTCACAGTTGCGAACAGTACTGTGCAGCAGTAAAAGTAAGGCCTGTAGTGGATTTCAACCCATGATCTTTGTGATACCAGTACAGTATTCTACTAACTGAGCTAACAAACCAACTGGGAGCTGGTCATTTTGTTGGTGGTAATAAACCAGGGAAGTGATGAATAAATGACTGTTGTTCTTTTTAGTTAGGGAATGTAAGAAACAAATATGATGCTGATGAACAGGCTGCCAAACAACATTATGAGGTAAGTGACATGAACCCTCACATTCCAAGGGGTAACCTAAAGAAAAACTCTTGAAACAATATCGTTAACCCTTTAACTCCCAATATCTCATTAGTTATTCTCTTTACTGTCTGCCATACAGTTCATGTGTTATTAGTTTGGAGAATTTGGTATTGAATCAACTCATAATCCCCTAACTGATATTTTTCTCTATTCTTATCACTTGCCTGATTGATACTGTATTGATATTGTATGGAGAAATTCTGTCTTGATCACTCATATTTAAAGGGTTCAATTTCCAAGAATATGTTAAGAGAATAGAAAAATATCAATCAGTAAATATGAAATCTTTGAACTAGAATCACAAAATTGTAAATTGATTGAACAGATCTTGAGAAGGGATAAAGAGTGTATTTAATGAGATCATCTATTATCCAGTCATGATTTGGTTAAAAAATTTGGCACCTTAAAAACCGTTGAAGCCAATCATCAAACTACTTAAACAATGATGCAAATTGTTTAACCTTACTGCCTGACCAAAGTGTAGCAGTCAAAAGGTTGTGATGTACAAGTGGAAGTCATTTATTTTTGTGCATACTAATCTATAACAGTTGGCTGCAAATTAGTTGGCTATTTTCAAAGCTCAGTAGAGGTTGCAAACATGCCTTTGACCTCTCAGCCTTGCCTCTACTTTATTACATACAGTACCTTGATATTTTTCAAATGATGTTTTTTTTCAATTGACTATTATCAAAATATTTAATATCTTTCCTTTACAGAGTGAAAAGTTGGCCTTGATGGAAAGCATGAAGCAAGAGTTGGAAGAAAAAATTAGAAAATTAGAAGAAGATAAACAAAATATGGATATCTCAGCTGGTAAAATCTTTGGAACTATGCTCATTATTTTGGCTGCTTATTGTTTCTCCTTCATTATTATATAAATCAAAATTCTCACTCCTAAAAACTTTTTAGTTGAGTTAACTTTAGTTAGTGACAGTTGTGAATACTTTTGAATTTTGTTATTTACTTCATTTCAGATATCTGGCTTGAATCTCAGTCACTTAAAAAGAGACACAGGAAGTCATCTGATGGATCCATGCTCTCTGACAAAAGACGGAAGCCTGTCACTGTTACAGATATCCTTTTAGAACTTTACATTTAATATGTTTCTTAAACTGTGATCCATACAGATAAATTAAGTTTAACACCTCCTGCTGAATTGACTTAACCCTTAATTTCCTAAGATCTGATTGTTAATTCTCTCCTCTATCTGCAACACTTTTTCGTGTAAATTAGTTAGGAGAATTTGTGTCATATCATCATGATGACAACTTCAATTTTGAGAATTCTCATCACCTGTTTACTGGATAATGTATGGATATTGTATGGAGAAGCTACATGTCAATCACTCCAAAGGAGTCTGAAGGTTAACCATCCAGTGACCTTCCTTGCTGGCAACCTAGCCATACACATCCATATTCCCCTTTGCACACATCAAACTCAACACAGAGGATTCATTGGAAATCATAAACAGTAAAGATAATTAAAAAGAGAAAGAAAGTCTGTAAAGGGACAGAAAGAATTAGGAACCAATTAAGAAATCTGTGAGCAAAGCCAGTTCAAATTCAGGTGTAATATACATTTACGAAGAAGTGCAAAGGTACTAGCAGAACTTAAACCTGACAAAAACCTTAGGCTGCATTCAGTGGTATGGGTAGTATATAGATGTTAGCATGGTTATAATAGTATGTTAGAAAATATCAGTTATACCCTTAAGCTCCCACCTTTGGCTCCTGGTTATTAACTAAGTTATATTACATTCAGTTTTAAGAAGGTTATTGCAGATTTAAGTCAAAAGTATTCTCATTGTCTTTTCTTGACCTTACCCAAGTCCCTATATTGTGTATATGTTAAGAGAAATGGATATTCTTGAAGACTGGGCAGCCATCAGGAAGGTAAATCTTGAGGTGTTTTTATCAGAATTTTTTTTTTTTTGGATATGAGAGTTATATTTATTTTTCTGTATTTATTGTTTTGTTTTCCAATTACAACTACCAGTCTGTTTCCAATAAAAAAAATGATGTGCTATAACAGATTTTTTTTTAAAGGCAAAAGGGGCATTGGCAAGGAGAAGACAAGAAAGTAGGACATTATTTGATTTACCTTCATTTCCAAAATAATTTTGCAGTTGTTGGCCATTGATACAAACAAATTGATCATTTTTTTGGAATGGCTAATATGTCTGTAGATTTAATGACATTTCTTTGTACCTGACTGTGACATTGTTGTTAGAACACCTGCCAACAAAATACAGTTTAAGAGGCTTGTTGGTCTTACTTAAACTCTGTTCTCCTTGGTGTAAAACACTCAATAACACCGCTTCCTTCATCAGTACTAGGATGTACAAATTATGCACTACTACTTAATGATGAATATCTTTACGCTGGATAGTAATGTAGAATTTTGATTTCCATTGGAGAATAGTCCATTAAATTTGAATACTTATCAATTTTAAGCATTTTGGAATGGAGACCTAAGCATTGTTCCTTCTACTTTGAGCGAATACAGGACATTTTGCACAAAAGACTTTTCACACAAGTCTTTTAGCACAAGTTTTGGACCATTCACACAATTCTTAGTGGTCATTTCGCACAATAATTATAAGTGAGAAACATCAATATAAAAGGTATACTAGTTGATACTGATAAGACATTTCACCTTCACATGTCACTTTCAATAAGATACAACAGCGAGAACGTAGACACTTATTTACGTGGGAACTTCAACTAGATTGAAACGCTTGTGAGCATGATCACTATTCTTACTTATACTTACTTGAAGAAAGGAACAAATCTTTCTCTCTATGAAAATGTAAAGAACTCCCTATTCGAACGATTACTTCTATTACTTTTCCTTTGTTAAACAAAAAACCTTTTAGTTTTGACAGTACATCATCCACCACAAACATACAAACATAACAATCCAACATTAAGGACACCATGTTGATTTCAAAAGTAATTGTCACCAGTCCTCCCTCTTCTGAAGTCAAAGTAAAAACCTGCAAACTGTTTCACTTTTTATTAAAAATGACAAAAGACCTATTTACAAAATTTCTGTGTAGATATATATAAATTTCTGTATATATATATATATATATATATATATATATATATATATATATATATATATATATATATATATACATATATATATATATATTTATAAATTGGTGAATTCAGATAAACAGTTACATCCATATCTCAACTTAACACGGCCATGTTACTCGGTCAAGACTCGAAGAAATTTAGCCCTTTCCAACATTCATTTAAGCTATAGTACATCTAGATTTCTTTATTTGTTTTGATCTTAAGCTTATATGATTACTTATTGAACAACTAGCGTGAAATCTTTGAATTATTTTGAATTTTTAAAACTTTCGTGAAATCATTTGTTTACATCACGGTCGCTATGACGCTTATCGATCAATACTGAACTCTCCATCGCTTAGGTAATTGTTATTAGAATAATTTGAAAGGTTACCACTTGATAGATGTATTAAACTTTACGATCTTTAAAAAGATTACAGATCGAACTTGTCTTTCTACAAGATCACTAGTTTCTACCTACATTGACACATTCAAGTTGTCAAATCACAACACTTGCACGTGAGGACATTCGATGTGAAGCACTCTCTGAATATCGAGTTATTAACGTTGAACTGTTTTTGCTGTACGTATTATCAGTATGCCTAATTGTCATTATATAACGAAGATATAGGAAGCAAGTTTTCATTAGCTTTATTTGAAACTCTTGGAGATCGATAAAACAGGCTGTTTGAAGGCGATTGAACAAGGAAGGAAGACTGGTGACAGTTACTTTCGAAATCAAAATGGTATCCTTAGCGTGGGTTGTCATGTATGGAGGTTTGTAGTGGATGATGTACTGTCAAAACTAAAAGTTTTTTCGTTTAACAAAGGAAAAGTTATAGAAGTAGTCGTTCGAATGGGGAGTTCTTTATATTTTCATAAAGAGAGAGATTTGTACCTTTCCTTTAATCAAGTAAAAATAGAGATCGTGTTCACGGGCATTTCGATCTAGTTGAGGTTATTACGTAAATAAATGTCAACGTTCTCGCCGTTGGATCTTGTGAAGGTGAAATGTCTTATCAGTATCAATCAGTATACCTTTTAAATTGATGTTTCTCACTTATAATTATTGGGCGAAATGACCACTTAGAATTGTGCGAACTGTCCAAAACTTGTGCTAAAAGACTTGTGCAAAAAGTCTTTTGTGTGAAATGTCCGGTTACCCTTTGAGCTTGATTTTTGATCAGCCAAAATGTTAGGTGCCCACCTCTTCCCTGTTTTTTCTTTTTATTGAGTTTGGATTTGATGAAGTCCTACTAGGAGTTATAGAGGGAAAAAACCTTCAAGTCTAAGTAAGATTATTAATGTTTTGGAAATTTGAATCATTAAACTCTGTTATTTCGTGCATAGGTGGTTGTCAATCAGAGAAGAGTCCATTCAGTGCGCGATATGAAGATGGAAAGCTTTACTATGAAGGAGAATGGTATGTGGTTCTGTGACTGACATATATTTGTTAATTTGTGACAGCTGTGCACACATGACAATGGCTATCAAGACTAAATTACATACCTTGAGTGGTATTTGTGAATAATTGTGCAAAAGCTCTAATAATTACATTGTTATCTTTACATTCTTTTTCAAGGTTCCACAAAGGTGATCATGTACTGATAGAGAGCAGAAATGATACACATTCCAGGTATGTTTACAGCTCATGTTCCACAATTTCTTGTTGAGTATTTGTTAGTCCCCAGTCTAGTTCAATTTCTTTTTCAAGTGTGCATTGCAAGGCACTGATTTTGCTCCAGAATGTTTTGCAGCAGTTTTCAGAAATGATTTGTAGGTCAAAGAAGTGCCTTGATTTATTCAATTTTACCATGTTGTAGCCATAGCACTAGGCAAACACTAGCTTTTTATGGCTTATTTCAATAAATTTGTTCTGGTGATGAAATTTATATATAATTATATATTTTTTTTAATTTTAGTGCTGTTGTTACAGGAATCAACACTGGAGAGGTGATTTAATAATTTTTCCTTGTTTCTACTTTTTTGATAGGTGTTTTGAGCCAGTCTTCTCACAAACAGAACTAAAAATTTCTTTTCATGTTAACCCTTAAATCAGAACTCCCAAGAGAGAGATCTGCATCAAATTTCTCATTACAATATCACCATCTTATCACAAGTAAAGGTTATGGGAATCAAAGAACTGATCAGTAAAGAAAAATAGCCATCCAATAAAATAGTCAAATTCTCTCAATGGCTATTGCATGGAAATGCATGAGCACCTTTGACAAGAATTTATGGAATTTAATGGTTGAAGTTTAGCTGTTGTTTAACAAAACTGTGGTCTAACTTATCTTGAATTTGGCTGAATCTTTAGCCTGAACATTCATATTTGTGACTTTTGTCAAAAGGGCCAAAAGCTACCTATTGAAGGACATTTATTAAATGATTTGATAATCGTCTTATAGCGAGTACATAAGGTTAACTGCTTGCGTAAAACTCCAGTTTGGGTTAGACCTCATGTAAATAACCAGCCCTTTATGTCTACAATGGGGTTTAAAGGGTTAATATTTATCTTTTTCTTATGGAACATTTTCTTGATCAGGAGTAATTGTTTATGATTGATTTTCAGGTGTGGGTAAGAAAAGGAGATGGATCAAAAACAAAGTTATACATAGGACAACTACAGAAAGGAAAATACAGGATTAAAAAGTCATGAAAACTAATTGATCAAGGGCAACATTTTGGTATACATTGTATAGAATCTGTTAGATTTCAGTCTATTCTGAGGCAGATTGTATCAGGATGCTATGATACTTGTTATATGTGTAATGTAGTTGGTGCATATCATATGACACTTTGACATTATGACATGTTGCTATGACAATAGTGATGTCTTGAGGATAGCAAGTCTTTGAATCCACTAAACTGATGCAAGAAAATGGCATTTTAACTTGCTCGTGCACAACTGGAAGCAATGAAAAAATGACCAAGGTATCCTGACCCTCGAGACAAGAGAGCACAAAACCTAAGGCCCAACAAGAGCCCCAAAGAGTGAAAAGAGAAAACTGATGTGTAAGAATTAAGATAAACAGGATGAATGATATCAATCAAGGTCAGGAAGGGTTGGCCAGAGAGGGAAGTCTTTTAGTAATGAGCAACAAGTAAATCACATGGAAAACTGTTAGTCACACAATGTAAATAAGCTCCCATACCCAAACATTTAGACTCTCAGATATGTGTGAGAAGCAAGTTTTCTGTGTTAGTTGTCTCTTGACCAGTGGAAAACATTAAAACTTGTTTTATAGATTGATTGTTATCATTATGCAGTGGTTCTTTTTCTAATGGAATGTTAAAGTTTAGTCTGGCTGATAACAAAAGGAAAACTGGCTGTTGTGCAGTGTGTCTTTTTGTTAACTGTTTGACTCCCTGGAGTGATAAACATGAAACTTCTCCCTTTTTATATTTATGCATTCTCCAGCAAACAAGTAAGGAGAATACTCAAACTTATTGACTAGTTGTTATCTTGATCTAAGACCAAATTCTCATAACTATGGTAGTTTACAAGGAAATGTGTAGCATCAGAGGGAGAGAATTAACAATAATATCTAAGGATTTGGACAGTTAAGACTGGATAGAACTCCTTTAAGGAAAGTTTCTGTTTTGACACTGTACTGTAAATTCAAGTTCTCCTTTAAAATTTTAGCCTTTTAAATCCTTTCAAAATTACTGTTGTCTCTCTGTGGGTGAAGAAAACTTCCTAGTATTTAAACACAAACCTTTTGATGTATTTAGTATTACACCTGGCATTTTAACATTCTTTCATGTAGTGTTGCATAGTAATTGAAGACTATATAATCTTATTTTCTGTTTGCCATGCAAGCTGTAAATTGTCTTCTGAAGAAAATTGTGACTCGAAAAGGCCCTTACTAAATAAAAGTGGATGTGTTTTATAAATCTTGGAGTAAATCTCTTCTCTTGTAAGGGAACTTGGAACTTGATGCTCTTGGAACTCTTACTGGTCCAAAAAGATTTTTTCAAAAGGAAATGTTTCTTTTCTTCTTCCTAAACAATTAAGAAATTTCATGAAAGGTTTGATGGCCCTTAAGCTAGCACTCTCCATTGCAGGCTCTCAGCTCATGGGAAGAAGTAATGTGCAAGATGTGAGGGTGAAAACAAGTCAGATACAGTTGTGGTAGTGAGTCATGAAACCCTTAACCTTTAACTCCTGTCAGTGACCAAGACAGAATTTCTCAATACAACAACACATTATCAACCAGATAAGTGATGAGAATAAAGTAAAATATCAATTTGGGGATAAGTTGATCCAATACCAAATTCTCTGAACTAACATTTTAATAACTGTATGGTTGACAGTAAGGAGAATTACAAATTTAATCTAGCAGTTAAATGGTTGAGCTATCCAGCTTTTATCTCAATTTAAACAGCAAGGAGATAAGATATGATTTCTCAGTCAAAGAGATCAGCTACTACTAAAAGATTGGAACGTTGGAATAAATAAAGTGAATATCTACTTTGAAATGCTACAAGTTTTTGAGAAAATTACACAGGGGTATCTCATGGGTCCATGTCAACAAATATTACACAGGTTAGAGACAAAAATCTGTTGACAAGTTAATTTATGATTTATAGAGCCAGAATGACATGATGCAGGGAAAAGTGAGAAAAATAAAGTCCTTTGAGTATTTCCTTTCAAATATGATGTGACATCAACTTTGACCAGAACGAATTTTATTGCTATGTTCTAAACATACTGCTTTTTATTTTTTAACATCACAACCCTTTGCATAACCCAACTTATCCACAACAAGTTACTCATGATAGTTTACCCACTAAAAACCAAGTCAATCTCTAGGTAAACTGTAGACCTTGAGTGTCTGGCATCTAATTTCTCCTTTCAGTATCACCTCTTGAACTGAATGTTGAGGTTATGAGAATAAAGGAAATAATCACCAATTGAAGAAGCTCCTTATTCTTAAACACAATTCTTGTCAGTATCATAGGAAATTTAAGGGAAACAGGATGGAAAATATGAATGCTCGGGGTGGGGAAGGAAAGGGTTAAGTGTTGCCAAACCTTTGGAAAATCTTTTTGCAATCAACCCTTCAACTCCCAGAAGTGACAAACCTGTAACTTCTTCCTATAATATCCATACATTATCCAGTAAATGGGTGATAAGAATACCCAAACTTATCAGAGAGAAGTTGCTATCTTGGTCTGATGCCAAATTTTCTGAACTAATTTACAAGAAAATGTGTAGCAGCTAGAGAGGAGAATTAACAATTGGATCTTGGGAGTTTAAGGGTTAAGTATTGCTTACAAGATAACTAAATTAAACGTTTTCTTGCTCAGGTTTTCTCAGGACTTTTGCCTTGCTGCCCTGCCAGTACCAGAATTGAATAAGAAACTCTAACCATACTGTTGTAGACATTACTAGTTAACAATAAATTACAAATATATTCCTGACTTTATATGAGGTACAATATAAGATTAAGAAACTTAAAAGTGGCCATTTAGGTAAAAAATTTAAAAAGGGAAGTTAAAAAAAAATTTAATTCAATGTTTAAAAATCTACAAGGATTTGCTTTGCTCTGCTTGCTCTGCCTGTTGTGAAAGAGCACATTTTCTGCTCAGATGTTTCTGAGATTCAAGTGGGCATTGCATTCTGACACTGCATAGAAAGCCAAAACAACACAAGTTCACATTTAATCTTGTTATTATATTGCCTTGAGGAATTTTATCACAGCAAATTCTGACAGCAGCCAGAGGATGCTCATCTGGTTGATACCCCCTTGGTAAAGGAAATTGTTTATTTCTGGACTTTCTTGAAGAGTGATTGCAGGGGCACTCCTCCTAAAGGCTCTTGTCCCTGCATTTGCATAATCTTTTTGGATTAAAAGGACTTCCTCTCCAGGAGGCAAACGAGGACCTGCCAAACAAAAAGGACACAGATCTCAATAGGAAAACTCATTTGCAAGTGATATTACAACAAAAAGAACCATTTCATTGATAACAGACACAATTATCTTACTCACTGTTGGTATCAATCCCCAAAAGGTGACAAATCATCTGGCTAAGAATTTTCATGAACTCCTCGGGGTGGTCCTCACAATTTTCCAGGAAACCAGCTTTCTCTGTTACATTGTGCTCAATACTTGAGCACTCAAACCGAATACAAGGCCCCTGAGTGTAGCCCATTTCCAGTTCTACTTTGTGTGGAATTTCTTCCTCTATTGAAGAGAACAAAGTGCAGTCAAGTCTACAAACTCACAAATATGCAGAAAATGTGATCTATTATTCATTGAGAAGTGAATGATGAGCTGCTCAAACCAGTGCATGTCAACTTCTAATTCGACAAAGGGAAAATACTAGTTAGTGACTCAGTACTTCAATAAACCAATAGAAAATTCAGTTGTTCACTTCTCTGTTTGTGATGTTCATTCAGTAACACACTTTTATTTGGTCCCATAAAAAATCCTCTTGCCCATTGGGCAAGTGAGAGTCAGAATCTGCCAGCCTGATCTCACAATCCACTAGCCCCTGGCTTACTATACCAGCCAATAGGGTTTGTAACATTAACAATGTTAACTTAAAATGAAAACCAGTACATTCAAACAAAAACAGGTTATAATTCTGAAATACAATTACCAGAATTGAAAAGCTGCATTCTCTCGTTTCTGTCATTGCCATATGAAGCTGTAAATTTAAGTTTTAAACCCTGTTGGTGGAATACAGATAAAACTGTCATTATCTATAACAGGCCTTCTTCAATCTACACCAAAACTGGTTTACAATCAGCAAAACAAACTCATATTCTGTGACTAACTTTGTCACAAAATGCTTGAACTGTCTCTAACATTATCATCATGAATTGTGTATGTTTTAAAGTCCTGGATGATGGGCCAAAATACAATTTTACACCATGATGAACATTTTTGACAATTCTACTTTTTCATCAAGACAGCTGGACGGTAGATGAATGCAGTTATGTCTCAACAAAGAATTGTATAACTTTGTTGGGTGATATGTTTGCAGGTGGAGGAATAGATGAGAAACAGTTTACTCTTTAAAATTCCTAGACTGATAACCACGTGATGTTTACAATTTTGTTATTTATTCCACCATCTATCTACGAGACTCACCTGGCAAAAATACTCCATGCAAACAACTGATTCTGTAAAAGAACACTTTACAGGTAAAAATTGAATAAACAAGGAACCTGATATTCTATTTCACTATCAAGAGTGACTAAAAAAGATCAGAGAAGGAAGATCAAATCAAATCTATCAAATCACTTTGGTTGACAGAAAAATATTGGTTTCAGAATGAATTTGTATAAATAATAGTGTCATTACGTTGGTTGACAAGCGGCCTAAAAACCGTCTGCAATTAATTTTAATCGTTCACAAAAAGTACCCAGAAAGTTGAAACATGAGGTATTTGGTTACAGTTAAACTGAACGATGGAACTTTCATTCATTTAATATCTGAATTTTCAGATTTGGTCGCCAAAGTGAGAAATTTAGTCGCATTGGCGCCTGTATTAGGCACAATTTCACTCCCTGGTCAGTAATATACATACTATAAGATTTTAAGTTGTTAACTTAAACAGCGTAGTCTCTCAACATGTGTATATATTGAATTGATTTTTAGCTCATTCATGCTGAAAGCATGATCTGTTTGGTTACAACGCAAATATTAACATGTGAAAATCAGACTATCTGTAGGCTTGAAATTCGATCAAGAACGATTGTGGCCGCTTTGTTATAAACCAAATCCAATGGCCGCTTCGTTAAGAACAAAGAATATCAAGTAACGGGCAAGGAATATTTCACAATTGTGCAAATGATCGTGAAAGACGCTCAACCAGCCCATCCTTGGCCCCACAAACACTCACACACCTTCGATCTTTTGTTTTGCCGGACCATGGTCTCCTTAGAGCTAAGTGCCCGACAGTCAGACATTTTTAAAGATTTCACCTACCTCTGTTTGACCTGGATAAAGCCATTTAGCGAGCGATTCGCGGAAGAAAGGACGAACTCTAAAAGAATGGAAAATCTACCCATGATGTTCTTCTCGTGTGCGCCCAACTCGAGTAGTTGGAAAGAGTGAACGTAGAACCATGGAAACAACAAAATTTATCTAGTCCTCAGGCTTCTGATTGGCTGTCGGCTGTCACCTATCACTACGTAGCACGGAAAAGAGGCAACTTGTCTGCGCATGTTCCGTAAAAATTAACACACACAGCGGCAAAACGATTGCGCATGCTCGGCGGATTTCGGGCTTTCGAGGAGCGATTAGTGATTCCGGCGTGGGAGAAGTTTGCAGAAGAGCGAACAGAACATCGTTTTACACTTTTTGGGACTGATATTGATGTGATCCGACCGGAAAAATTTTGAATGGAGTTTGTTCTTATGGAAAAGTCTGATGGGTAAGTAGAATTATTATAGATATAGTTCAACTAAAGCCGATTTAAATTTATTTAGACAGCTCGTTGCGTGTTCCCGTTCCAATCACCAATTTTATTTACAAAACGCATTTCATCATCGGTATTTGTTCAGTACATGCTTTAAACTTAAAAGCTTTTCGATGTAAACTCTTGTGGTAGTAAAAGCTGTTTTACAATCGAAATTTGCCCTGAATCTGTCGGTCGTTTTGCTTAAGTGAACGTTCTTTTCCCCAACACAACTTAAACGTAATAGATGCAATAACATTTATGCTTGACACATTTCTTGACCTTCTTTGCGTCTGGAAATATGTCGATGTAACTTTACGATCAACCGTCGTTGTGTGACGTTTACATGTATTTCTTACCACACAGTGTTACCTAAAGTTGATGAAAGTAACCGTACACAAATTCACCGTCGCAGACAGCTTCAACTTCAGCCAGTTAAAGAGCTCTTCAATGTCACTGCGTTGAGACTGCAAGAAAGGCGCCTTTTGGTAAGTGGAGATGGCTGTACATTGAGATGGTGTTGTCATTTGCATCACTTACAAATGAAATCGTTAAACCATTAATTATTGTAAAAGCAGCATTTGTGTTGGTAAGTCTTCTACTTAGGCGAAAACTCAGAGCAGATTCCTCACTTGAATTAGTCTCCTTAACAAAACAAACAGTGAACTCCTCTTCATAGCTCAAACTACCCAGGCTGCTTCTGATAAGAGGTATGGCTTCAACAACACTAAGATATGATGGTGACTGCATGAAACTGTCATATGCCTGATTTCCCCCCATCATACATGACATGAAGGCTAGAATCCAGCTTGGAGTCAGTGGTTGGTGGTTTTTCAGTTGAAGGAAGGATTTGTTTGTTGCCAAAGCAAGTTTTCAGAAAATGTGTTTCCTTGCTTTTTGCTTTTGGATCTCACAGTTGGTTTTTTGTTCACATTCTTAAGTATGTCTTTGCCAACAACTAAGAAATAGCTGTACAAGCATTGCTGCCATGATGACCCCCAATTGTTGACTGAGATAGGAAGGCTGCCAGTTCCCAGAATGTGACTGATTGTGTAGTTGAAGAAGGAACATGTATTGAAGTGGATTGTGGTGGTACACTTAAGTTAGAAAACTGTTTTTGAGCTACTGATGGTGTTTGTTGTTGAGATTGATTTTGTGATTGTAAAAGGTAAGGGCAGGTAAAGTGAGAACCTCAAGGTCTTTGGTGGCAAGGTTATCCACAGTTGAAAAGTGGTTTTGGTGTGAATTTGCAACTGAAGCAGGCCTTTCAGTGCTATGTCATCTTTCTTAAGTTGTCCTGTGTGGAACACTTGGTTGGGGTATAATAAGCTGTTCTAGATTTCTAGTTATCATATTTCCCCCATCATGGGACTTGTAAAAATCTGAATACCTAGAAGCATTTATTGCTAGCTGGCTTTTGGGCTGTTCATGACTATTGTGGCTGTCTGAAATGTTCCTACTTGTATCATGCTCTATAATACCTTTATTGAAGGAATCACCTAACTTATTTACTCTTGTTAGAAAAGGATCATTGCTCCATCAACTGGATGGACAACTGCTATGGCTGGGAGACTTGATGCCATGTGAATTGCTGTACTTGGGACGACTTTCAATCTGGAATCCAGTATCCTATTTATGGCCAATAGGCAATCATATTTATTAACTTTGAACTCGGTTTTTGATGAGTTCATGAAAGTTAATTAAATGTTATAAACCACTCACTCTGCTTTGCCACTTTGATTCTGTAAAATACAAATTTATTATCTTCACCAGTGAAGAGATGATAAAGAGAATTCTTTGCATTTTAGGAAGCCAAGAAGAAAGAATTTGATAGAAGACAAGAGACAAGAACTTGGTAGAGTCAAAATGGACTGAGAGGAGAGACAGGCACAAAATATTGTGAATCAAAGCAAATGAGAAAGAGCAGGCCCACAGGGAAGTTGTGCAGCAGCAGATTGCTAGAGATAAAGCAGAAAGGGAAGCAAGGTGACAGAATGAGGTGTAGGAGAGACAGCATGCACAAGCACCCTCACTCTCACCTTCAACTACCATGACTGGAGGTAGTCAAGGGTCAGGAAAGACTGAGTGGTAAGTGAGGTAGAAATGCAATAACACATGTCATTTGTACAGGTTTTGAGTTCTTGAATATCCGTCACTTCTACATTGTAAAAGTAATTAAAGTACATGCTATTTTTAACATCAACCATTACTTCAGTTGTACATTGTTGTATTGTATTGTTACTAAATGCACTGTACATGCAACAGAGACTTTTTGTTTTTACTCAGCATTTCTGCCAGGCTCCAGTTTTGTCTTCCAGACAGCAGTTTGTTTACAAACTCTTTCCCACTTGATACTCCTTTGGAGAAAGTATATCATCACTGTTGATTTTTACAAGTACAATGTAAAACAATGAACAAAATTTTAGTAGTCTTCAGGGAATTCTATTTAGATAAGTAGAGGAGAATTCTGTGTTAAATGTATTGGAGCTATATAATTGTTAGGTTCTTATTGAAGGGGCCAGAAATAGTTTTCCTTAATTTTCCTCCTAAAGTCAGACAAGATGTACCAATTCTTAGGTCTGCATTAGATTCTTATAATTTTCTGCAATCTTGGTGTGTCCAAATAAAGGTTCTCTTCAAGACCATCTGGTTTTTGTCAATGGTCCTTATAGCTATCAACCCCTCCAAAACATGAGTGAGCTCCTTTGAGCAAATTTGCTAAAAATCTTCTAAAAATTGGTGTTATTCACGTGGATCTTTTCCATTGTTCTCAGCAACTGGAACCCAGTATCAGCTCAATAAGAATGTATACCACCTACCCTAGGCAAAAGCTGACTGAAGAAGACCTGGTAAAGAGTTTGGCTGAGTGAGCTGTGGTAAGTTTTAGATTAATATTAGGTTGTTTTTAAAACATTCATCCATTGGAAAAAGTGAATATTTGTCTCATGTGAACCTGGCATATGGCTTGGCCCACCAATGAGTTCTGTTTACTTGTGTGTAACTCAGAGTTAGGTTGAAACTTTAGGAAATCAAAGTAGGGTTGTGTTTTAGGAAAGCTTGGGAGCCACTTGCAACCAACTTAGGCTGTTTTTTTCTCCTTCACTCCCAATGAATGTTGAATCTTTTTTGTTTTTGTTGTTTTTATTTTTAATTGGTTAATTATTATTGTACTTGTGAAAAATATTTCCTCAAATTCTTCTTCTGAGTAAATTTCCACATCCCCCTACCATTCAGAAATTTCCCAAAACTTAAAAAGATAAATAAGCAACACTAAACTTAATTTTTTTTCACAGAGCAGAAGTAATTCCCTCACTCCACCTGGGACTTCATTATTCTCTTAACTATTGTAGGTTATGGATTCTTTCACCTAGGTTCACACTGATTAACTTCCTGAAGGCTTTCCTATTCAGTAGTCCAGATCAATCTAAAGGGAAACAGAATACTCCTTCACAGAGAACAAACAGCAGCACACAGTCAAAACCATCAAAGTGAGTCTTCTTGGTTTTTTCCCTTTTGTAAACAGCAACACAGTTTATTGTTCAGCTGTATCAAACTAGTTTGGTTGTTTGCTTGTTGGTATTAGAATGAAATTTTTTCTCAAAAACCAAAAAGCAAAAAGAACTCCCTGATATCAAGTTTGAAGAATTTGAGTTAGAGTCAATTTTATTGTTCATTGGTTTTGTTTTGTTTTGTTTTTTTTGGCTCAACATTTGACAGATTAAAGTTTTGGAGAATTACACCACTTGTGAATGCTTGAAAATGCACATATTTTGCCACTGGTGACTCTGAACTAAATATTCAATTATCACAATTTGCAAATTTCACAAAAACAAAGATAGTCTCATGTTTTAGGTTGTCATTTTTCAGTGAGTAGAATAATTCTTTTTTGTCAATTTGGGCTTGCAAGTTTTGTTTTTGATGAAAAAAACATAGCAGAAAAATATAATGAAATAAACAGACTCTTAATCAAATTCAGAGTCATAAACAACATCTAAACTCCTTCTTTGCTAAAGTTACATGCCAATCTTTCTTGCTGTTTTTTTTTTCTCTTTATCTTCATGGTAGTTCTGGTGTACATCATGGAGTCCTGGGTGGTGTTTCATCTGTAAAGAAAGAAGGTGGAATTCACCAGCTTCACAACAGAGATGATGAAGATGACAACAATAACACATGGAATGGAAACTCTCCTTTACAGACATAACAGAATGGTCCAAGATTGTTTAAAATATATGGAGAGTTTAAAATTTGGTCTCTGATTTGGAATAATTCTTGTTAAACAGATTAATGTGGAGATGAGCTTGGTTGTTAGAGTGACAAGAGTCTGTGACAAATAATAATTGATACAGAAACAATGTTCCTTTAGAAAGGAATCAAACATTTGTGTTAGCTCATCTTGTGTACAATTATATATTGTGACTGGCCTGTATTGTCCATTATTCACAGAATATCAAAACAATTGAAAACAGAGAACAGTTTAAAAGTTTTCTCTAGTGTATTTTATGGTTAATGGCACAACAATTTTCAATGTCTCGCCCGAAGTTGTGACCAATTTCCAGTTGTTATGACGACGTCAAAGGATATTACTCCCCAGTCCCTCAAGAATGCAGAGAAACATGGAACCAGGGCCAAAATGAAACATACTATTTAAATGCTATTGGAGTGAGTGGTATAGAATAAAAGAAAAGGTAGTGTTAAATAATCTACAGCTTATCTTTCAAGGACCTCCCTTAGACAATAAACTATGAAATGCCCAGAAAAAATTATAAGGTAAGCCACTGGGGTGGATGTGAGATCAAGTCTTGCGTTAAGATTACTGATTCTTTTTTCCATTTATGTCTGCTAATGTTGTTTCCATGCACTTGGTGGCTTACTACCAAAGATTCACTAAACAAGTGCAATATCTCATTGGGAATTATTTATCAGTGGGCAATAACTGTTAATTTGATTTTGCCTCTACAAATCACAAGAAAAAATGATGATCAACATTCATTTCACAGTTTACCAATTGTTTGTGCTTGATACATGCCTCTGTTGGAACAAGTGGAAATCACAGCCAATGACTGCGCGTCATAGTTAGGGTGCATATAAACTGAATCATTTAGTAAAGAATGTAGAACAACCTGCTACGTAATCGTAAATTGGTACGTTCACATTCGAAATCCCCCACTCTTGTGCCAAAAATGCACTCCAAGGAAAGGATCAACTTTCATGTATTTTCACGCAATGACCTACAGCTTGTTGTGGTTATTCACTGCAGTGACTACTTCACTACTAAAGTATTTTGTTGTTTGTCTGATAAAGTCGTCACTTTCTACCTAGGATCGCACTGTTGATACGCCTCACATTTATCCAATCAGAGGCACTCTCCATATAATAGTCTCGTAAATCAGTTTTCTTAAGAAATTCATCGTCGCTCGTTTTCAAAGAAGGCGACTGAAAATTGTGCACCGTTCGATCTCGCGGTGGCGACTTCACCAACCAAGCACTGAATGAAAAAGAAGACCTTTTAAGTACAATTTCTCGTTGGAATGCCACAGTTTTCCATACAACTCCACATTTGGAAACGACAAATGTTCAGCGATGCATGCAATTTGCGTGACAGGCTTTAAGGGATTACGTTAGGTCACGCGATCATTCACTGCGCTGAGCGTAGAATAAATGTAACTGTTTACGGTCATTTCCACGTAAGGTGATTCGATACAAGCTGAAGTTGATTCGATGCATCGACTAAGCCGATCCGATACACGTAATAAGTCGTTTTGACACAACTTCAGTCACATGATTTGGATATAAACTAATAACGTTTATCCGGTCCAAACTTCCAAATTAATTATTTATCCCTTTTAAAATGGCGTAGATCGCGCCCGCGGCTAGATGGCTGTGATTGCATCGGTGGTCCTTGCCTTTGTGCTCATCTCAATATCCCGTATTAGAGATTGCGCAATAACTGTCAGAAGGGTGGGGGGGGGGCTGAAATCGAGGGGGGCCGTATGTAAAATTCATGATTGTTCCGGGCCAGGGAGGATAACATGTCACTCTTTGTGACTTAATTTTTCTGTCAGCAAGCTGACCTGAAATGCAAGTACATATATAACTATCATATGAATAAAACACGATTTATACACCATCTAAAATAATAGAAAGAAGTAAGTGAGTAGTTATCTGGTCACCAGGGTGGAGTCAAGATTCAAAGTTAAAGTTAACTTTAGTTAGTGACAGTTGTGAGTACTTTTGAATTTTGTTATTTACTTCATTTCAGATATCTGGCTTGAATCACAGTCACTTAAAAAGAGACACAGGAAGTCATCTGATGGATCCATGCTCTCTGACAAAAGACGGAAGCCTGTCACTGTTACAGATATCCTTTTAGAACTCTACACTAATATGTTTCTGAAACTGTGATCCATAAAGATAAATTAAGTTTAACACCTTCTCCTGTTGAATTGACTTAACCTTTAATTTCCTAAGATCTGATTGTTAATTCTCTCCTCTATCTGCAACACTTTTCCATGTAAATTAGTTAGGAGAATTTGTGTCATATCATCATGATGACAACTTCAATTTTGAGAATTCTCATCACCTGTTTACTAGATAATGTATGGAGAAGCTACATGTCAATCACTCCAAAGGAGTCTGAAGGTTAACCTTCCAGTGACCTTCCTTACTGGCAACCTAGCCATACACATCCATATTCCCCTTTGCACACATCAAACTCAACACAGAGGATTCATTGGAAATCATAAACAGTAAAGATAATTAAAAAGAGAAAGAAAGTCTGTAAAGGGACAGAAAGAATCAGGAACCAATTAAGAAATCTGTGATCAAAGCCAGTTCAAATTCAGGTACAATGTACATTTATGAAGAAGTGCAAAGGTACTAGTAGAACTTAAACCTGTCAAAAACCTTAGGCTACATTCAGTGGTATGGGAAGCACATAGATGTTAGCATGGTTATAATAGCATGTTAGAAAATATCAGTTCTACCCTTAAGCTACCACCTTTGGCTCCTGGTTATTAACTAAGTTATATTACATTCAGTTTGAAGAAAAACGGTTATTGCAGATTTAAGTCAAAAGTATTCTCTTTGTCTTTTCTTAACCTTACCCAAGTCCCTATATTGTGTATATGTTAAGAGAAATGGATATTCTTGAAGACTGGGCAGCCATCAGGAAGGTAAATCTTGAGGTGTTTTTATCAGAATTTTTTTTTTTTGGATATGAGAGCTGTATTTATTTTTCTGTATTTATTGTTTTGTTTTCCAATTACAACTGCCGGTCTGTTTCCAATAAAAAAATGATATGCTATAACAGAATTTTTTTTTTGAAAGGCAAAAGGGGCATTGGCAAGGAGAAGACAAGAAAGTAGGACATTATTTGATTTACCTACATTTCCAAAATAATTTTGCAATTGTTGGCCATTGATACAAACAAATTGATCATTTGTTTGGAATGGCTAATATGCTTGTAGATTTAACAACATTTTTTTGTACCTGACTGTGGCATTGTTGTTAGAACACCTGCCAACAAAATACAGTTTAAGAGGCTTGTTGATCATACTTAAACTCTGTTCTCCTTGATATAAAACACTCAATAACACAGCTTCCTTCATCATTACTAGAATGTACAAATTATGCATTACTACTTAATGATGAATATCTTTATGCTGGATGGTAGAGTAGAATTTTGATTTCCATTGGAGAATAGTCCATTAAATTTGAATACTTATCAATTTTAAGCATTTTGGAATGAAGAACTAAGCCTTGATCATTCTACTTTGAGCTTGATTTTTGATCTGCCAAAAATCTGTTTTTTCTTTTTATCGATTTTGGGTTTGATGAAGTCCTTCTAGGAGTTATTAGAGGAGAAAACCTTCAAGTCTGAGTAAGGTTATTAATGTTTTGGAAATTTGAATCATTAAACTCTGTTATTTCATATATAGGTGGTTGTCAATCTGAGAAAAGTCCATTCAGTGCACGATATGAAGATGGAAAGCTTTACTATGAAGGAGAATGGTATGTGGTTCTGTGACTGACATATATTTGTTAGTTTGTGACAGCTGTGCACACATGACAGTTACTATTAGGACTAAATTACACACCTTGAGTGGTGTTTGTGGATAATGGTGCAAAAGCTCTAATAATTATAATCTCATCTTTACATTCTTTTTTTAAGGTTCCACAAAGGTGATCGTGTACTGATAGAGAGCAGAAATGATACACATTCCAGGTTTGTCTACAGCTCATATTCCTGATGTTACATGTTATCGTGAATTTACTTTCAAATTTGTTCTTTTTGTAAGGATTTCAGTATAACTATCTTAAGCCATACCCTTCAATTTCACTTATTCACCAATCTGTAGTTGTATATTTGTTAGTCCCCAGTCTAGTTCAATTTCTTTTTCAAGTGTGTATTGCAAGGCACTGATTTTACTCCAGAATATTTTGTAGCAGTTGTCAGACATAATCGTTATGTCAAAGAAGTGCCTTGGTTTATACAATTTAACCATGTTGCAGCCATAGCACTAGGCAAACGCACTTTCTTATACTCAGCTTTTTATGGCTTCAGTAAATTTGTTCTGGTGATGAAATATTTTTTGTTTTTTTACTTTAGTGCTGTAGTTACAGGAATCAACACTGGAGAGGTGATTAAATGGGTTTTCCTAGTTTCTACTCTTTTGTTAGGTGTTTCTAGCCAGTCTTCTTCACAAACAGAACTAAAAATTTCTTTTCATGTTAACCCTTAAATCAGAACTCCCAAGAGAGATCTGCATCTAATTTCTCATTACAATATCACCATCTCATCACAAGTAAAGGTTCTGGGAATCAAAGAATTGATCAGTAAAGAAAAATAGCCTCACAATAAAATAGCTAAATTCTCTCAATGGTTATTGTATGGAAATGCATGGGCACCATTGACAAGAATTTATAGAATTTAACATTTAGACAAAGATAAGTTGTTGTTTAGCAAAACTGCTTTCTAACTTATCTTGAATTTGACTGAATCTCTTGTCTCAACATGTATATTTTGAGTTTGTCAAAAGGGCCAAAACCTACCTGGGGAAGGACATTTAATGAAAATTATTAATGAAAATAATCTCTTATAGTAAATACATAAGGCCCACTGGTTGCATAAAACTACAGTTTGGGTTAGACCTTCTGTAAATAACTGGCCTTATATGTTTACAATGGGGTTTAAAGGGTTGATATTTATCTTTTCCTTATGGGATATTTTCTTGACCAGGAATAATTGTTTATTTGTGATTTTCAGGTGTGGGTGAGAAAAGGAGATGGATCAAAAACAAAGTTGTACATAGGACAATTACAGAAAGGAAAATACAGGATAAAAATGTCATGAAAAATAATGGATTAAGTGCTACATTTTGATTTACGTTGTATAGAATCTGTTAGATTTCAGTCTATTTTGAGACAGATTGTATCAGGACTCCATGATACTTGTTATATGTGTAATATAGTTGGTGCATATCACATGACACTTTGACATCATGACATGTTGCTGTGACAACAGTGATGTCTTGAGGATGGCAATTTTCAAATCCATCAAACTGTCATGAGAAATTCAGCATGTTAACTTGCTCATGCACAACTAGAAGCAATGAAAGTTGACCAATGTATCCTGACCCATGGGAGGAGAAAGCACAAAACCTATGGCCCAAAAAGGGCCACAGAGAGTGAGAGGAGAAAACTGATGTATAAGAATTAAGATAAACAGGATGAAAGATATCAAGGTCAGGAAGGGTTGGCCAGAGAGGGAAGTCTTTTAGTAATAAGCAATAAGTGAATCACAAGGAAAACTGTCAGCTACACAATGTAAATAAGCTCCCATACTCAAACATTCAGACTCTCAGATGTGTGTGAGAAATAAGATTTCTGTGTTGGTTGTCCCTTGGCCAGAGAAACACATTAAAATTTGTTTTCCAGATGTACTATTATCATTATGCTGTAGTTCTTTTTCTAATGGAATGTTAAAGTTTAGTCTGGCTGATAACAGAAAGAAAACTGGCTCTTGTGCGGTGTATGTTTGTGTTAACTCTCTGACTCCCAGAAGTGATTAATGTGAAACTTCTCCCTTTCATATTTATGCATTATCCAGCAAGCAGTGAGGAGAGTACTCAAAGTTATTAACTAGTTGTTATCTTGATTTAAGACCAAATTCTCATAACAGTAGTGTATAAGGAAATGTGTAGCATTAGAGGAGAGAATTAACAATGATATCCAAGGGTTTGAATGGTAAAGAATAGAAAGAACTCCACCATGGAAACTTTCTGTCTTTACCACTGTGCTGTAAATTCAAGTTCTCCTCTAAAATTTTAGCCTTTTGAAATCCTTTCAAAATTACTATTGGCTCTCTAAAAACTTTTTAATGTATTTAGTATTACACCTGGCAGTTTGACATCCTTTCATGTAGTGTTGCATAGTAATTGAAGACTATATAATCCCGTTTTCTGTTTGCCAGGCAAGCTGTAAGTTATGTCCTCTGAAGAAAATTGTGACTGGAAAATGTCCTTGCTAAATAAAAGTGTATGTCATAAATCTTAGAGTAAAGCTCTTCTCTTGCAATGGAACTTGGAACGAGACTCTCTTGGAACTTTTACTGGTCCAAAGAAATGTTTCTCTTCTTCATAAACAATTAAGAAATTTCATGAAAGGTTTGATGACCCTTGAGCTGGCTTGCTCTAGGGCAGGCCCTCAGCTTATGGGAAGATGTAATGTGCAAGATGCAAAGGGAAAAAAGTTAGATACAGTTATGGTAGGGGACATGTAACCCTTAAGCTATCCAGCTTTTATATCAACTTAAACAGCAAGGAAGTAAGATAAGATTCCTCAGACAAAGAGGTCAGCTACTACTAAAAGATTGGAACATTGGAATAAATAAAGTGAATATCTATTTTGAAAAGTTACTATTTTATTTTAAAAAATAAAGCGAGGGTTCTCATGGGTCCATGTCAACAAACATTACACTGGTTAAAGACAATCAGTCGACAAGTTAATTTGTGATTTTTTGAGCCAAAATGATGCAATAAAATTGACATGAAGGGAAAAGTGGGAAAAATAAAGTGCTTTGAGTATTTCCTTACAAAAAAGGATGTGACATCAACTTAAAACATGAATTTTACTGCCATGATCTATACATACTGCTTTTTCTTTCTTTACATCACAACTCTTTGCATACTTCAACCTATTCACATCAAGTTACTCATGATAGTTTGCCTACTACAAACCAAGTCACTCCCTAAATAAACTACTCCTCTGGTAAAAAGTGGGCAGGTTAACCTGTAGATCTTAGAGTGTCTGGCATCTAATTTCTCCTTACAGTATCACCCCTTGAATCAAATGTTAAGGTTATGAGAATAAAGGATATGATAACCAATTGAAGAAGCTCCTTATTCTTAAACAAAATTTTAATTTATTCTGCATAAAAAGGATAAAAAAAGAAAAATTAAATGAAAAGCATATCTACAACATCCTCATTAAAACTAAGTTGATGATGGGTCTACTGTAGCCAATTTACATTATCAACTTTGTTGATAAAACTGACCATTTTGTGATACCTGGCACTGACACTTAAAACTAACCCTTTTACACATTCTATGTCACCTAGTTTTCAACTAAAAGAATGACAAAAGTATGGGGAATCTTTTTGCATTTAATTACTGCCTATAAGATAACTAAATTTAAAGTTTTCTTTTAAAAAAACAAATTAGCCTTGCTTGGGTTTCTCGGACTATACAAGATTCCTATAATAACTGAGCTGATAATGGGACTATTGTGGCCAATTTACATTATCAACTTTGCTGATAAAACTGATCAGCCTTGCTTGGGTTTCTTGGGACTTTAGCCTTGCTGCCCTGTCAGTACCAGAAATGAAAAAGAAATAATAAGAGTTGGTAGTCAGCTTGGTTACAAGTAATTTCAAATATTCCACTCTTTCCTGAAATGAAAACTCATTAAATAATCAGGAGATTTTATTGGTCTTTTATGACTTCAATTGATAGATAGATAAACTTTATTTATACAGGGTAACCCATTCAGTTATAAGGATGGTATCCAGAGGGGCCCTGATGTTGAAAACTAACAATACTGTTGTCAGTAGAAATTACTGGTTAAAAATAAAGTATGAATGTATTCCTAAAATTAGATGTGGGAAAAATAAAGATTAGGAAACTTAAAAGGGGCCTTATAGGCACAAAATTTAAAAAGGGAAGTTATAAAGACAAGTAATTTTTAATTCAATGTTTAAAAATCTACAAGGACTCAGCTTGCTTCACCTGCTGCGAAAGGGCACATTTTCTGCCTAGACATTTCTGAAGTCTGGGAATTAGTAGATATTGCATTCCGACACTGCATAGATAGCCAAAACAACACAAATTCACATTCACTGCCATCTATGACAAACTCTCTAAAATCCTCTCCCCATGTCCATTGTTTATTTGCTATATTTACACAACTTTCAGCAGTCTAGTTACCTCTCATCTAGTTACTACCTTCCCTTACCAAACTGTATCACAGCCAACTCTGAAAGGAGCCACAGGACACTCAGCAGCCAACATTTCTGCCGATGAACACCAACAACATTGTTGATTTGTTCACATTCAGAAACAGAGATTATGTCACTTGCAGGGTCACTCCTGTAGCTGAAGGTTGATGTCCCTTTATGTTCATCCACTTTTGTCATTAATAGCTGTTCATTATCAGGAACCAAATGAATACCTGCCAAACAAAAGAGACAGATCTCAATAAGATAACTCATTTGCAAGTTATGTAACAATGAAAAATCCCAACAACTTCAAAATGTGATGGTTGACAGAACCATATCATTGTCAAGAGAGTTACATTTTTGAAGGATGTACTGCTCAGTACTGGTCAACCTCACCAATTTTCCATGCAACTCTTCATTGAGTCAAACAGAAGATCAAAATAACTTTACTCACCAGGGGTATCCTTTTCCAAAAGGTAACAAATGATACACCTGACAGTTTTCATGATAACCCCAGGTGAGTTTATAAACTTTTGTAGGAAACCAAGTATCCTTATAACATCATCTTGGATCCCTGGAAAAACATAGGACAGTTTGCACCCCTGTCTGTCTCTCATTTTCAGATGTAGTTTATGTGGATGTTGATCAGCTATTGAAGAAAATGAAGTGCAGTCAAGTCTACAAACTACAAAATATGCTGAAAATGTGATCTATTAGCTATTCACCTTAGCCTGCAAGGGCTAAAAAAAATTCCTGTCCAAAAGCCACAGTTCTATTTGTTTGAATCTGAAGATTGTGCAGATTGGCAAGACTGCATAGGAAAACTTTCACACAGCATAGTAACAAATGGAATCCAATACTAACTTCACTACAACAATTTCAAATACTAATTCTGTTCCACTTAAGTCTAACTGTGGGTTGACAAAAAAAATTAAGTAAAAACCAATTCACACCAAAGCTAAAGCATATTTTAAAGCTTTTTTGTTAAAAACCATTTAAAATTAGATAATTTGGTTTCATCAAATTAAAAATTGACAAGTTGATGATGTAAATTGGCCATGACAGAGAGTTTCTAAGATGATGTTTCAAGGGTTAGCCCTTCATCCCAGAGAATGATGAGCTGCTCAAGCCAATGTTTGTCAACTTCAAATTCTACACAGTGAAAATCGTTAGTGACTCAGTACTTCAATGAACCATATTCGAAATTCAGTTGTTCAGTTCTCTGTTTCTGATGTTCATTCAGTTAAACACAGTTGAACTGAACATGTTTTGCTGGTATGAAAAGGGTATTAGACTTGAGGTTGTTCTGTACTTTGAACGATTCCTGAAAAAATCCTCTTGCCAGTTGGGCAAATGAGGGTCAGAATCTCCCAGCCTGATCTCAAAATCCACTAGCCCCTAGCTTACTGTACCTAACCGATAAGGTTTGCAACAATGTTAACTAAATATAAAAACAAGAACATTCAGATACAAACAGGTTATAATTAAAACAATTACCAGGTTCATTATCAACCTCCATTCTTTCTTCCCCATCAATGCCATATCTGGCCTTAAATGTTAGTTCCCACTCCTGTTGGTGGAATACAGATAAAATTGTGATTACCTTTAAGAGGCCTTCTTCAATCTACACCAAAGCTGGTTTAAAATCAGCAAAAGAAACTCATATTCTGTGACTCACTTTCTCACAAAATGCTTGAACTGTATATAACATTATCATCATTGAGTTTACTGGCTCTGCATAATGTTTCCAAAGCTTCTTAACAATGAATTATGTAAGTTTTTAAGTCCTGGATGATGGGCCAAAATACAATTTTGCACCATGATGAACATTTTTGACAAATCTACTTTCTTGTCAAGACAGTTGGAAGGTAGATAAATGCAGCTCAACAACTATGTCTCAACAAAGAATTTTATAACTTTGTTAGGTGATATGTTTGCAGGTGAAGGAATTATGAGAAACAGTTTACTCTTTCAAATTCCCAGACTGATAACCAGGTGATGTTCAACATTTTTTGGTTCATTCCAACATCTATCTATGAAACTCACCTCAGAATGGTACTGCAAGGTGATACTTGATTCTGAAAAAGAACAGTTTTCCAGGTAAAAATTTAATCAACAAGGACCCTGATATTCTGCTTCACTATCAAGAGTGACTAAAAAAGATCAGAGAAGGAAGAAAGATATTTACATGTATTGATTTAGGTATTTTCTTTGTTCTGACAAAAAACTCGGTAAAAATTTCCACCCAATGGCAATCTATTGTTTTTGTCATTGTTTTCTCTATCCAAGAACTGAATGCATAATGTAGTATGGGGCTGTGCGGAAATTTTACCAAAAACTCTTGGAGTTCAAATTAAAGAAACGTTCAACAGTCAATATAGATAAGTAGCTAAAGTTATACTACTTGAGGTGTGCATTTAACTTTAACCAAGCGTTAGATGTGGGATATAAAGCCTGTTGAGGGTCATTGGGCACTTCGTGATCAACATCAGATAGTTTGGGAAGGCTATGTTCATTTGATTCGTCAAATTTGTCGAATGCGTAGGGCTGCCGGTCATTTAGCCACTGCATGACTAACTCAATGACTGTTTGGAGATAGTGCTGGGCTCTTCAGCCACATGCACACTCGCAACACCAAGTGATACACAACATTGCAGTCAGGCAACCCTAAAAACTGGATTAGCCGAATGATGCGATGGCGTAAAATTACCCCTTATCCTAAAAGACGGAACTGCGGTAATTCACCCTAAATCCTAGAGCGCTTGGCTTGGTCTTGAAGCACGTTTTTATTTTGAAGAGGACCGCGAAGAAATGTTCCAAGTTTTAAAACACATGTGCTAAACTATCTTTCCTTCCCGTTCGATCGTTTGTTTTGGTACGTCCTCATTGCCCGGCCGTGGTCTCGTTAGGTCCTAACGGGCTTAAATGCCCGACAATCAGAAATTTTCAGAGAATCCAAATACCTTTCTTTGTCGCAGATGAAGCCATTCTGCACTTGCATGAGCTTCACTGGAGAAGGGACGAAGGATTGAATGGTGAAAGAATGCCCCCCGCATTTTTATTCTATGATACGTGCTACTTCTACTAATACCAAATGAGCGCCAGCGATGTGCAAAAGTTCCTGTAGACGTAGTGAGCAGTATTTATATTAATCCTTGGGCTGTTTGCGCTCTTCTGATTGGCTTTCATGTGTTTTCACCTCTTCTGATTGGCTTTCACCTGTTTTCACCTCTTCTGATTGGCTCTCACCTCTTACAAGTGGCGACAATTTGGACACAGCTACAAAAAGAGTGCGCATGCTCGACAGGTTTCGCTCTTTCAAGGAGCTATTAGTGATTCCAGCGTGGGTGGAGTTTGGCGAAGAACGAACAGAACATCGTTCTACACTTTTTGGGACTGACATTGATGTGATCCAACTGGAAAATTTTTTAATTGAGTTTGTTCTTATGGAAAAATCTGAAGGGTGAATAGAATTATTGTAGACATAGTTCAACTCACTGTGGACCACAATGAGAACTACGGGTTCTACCCGTAATTGTGTTATCCAATAAAGTCGTTATTTATTTGTTTATTTAAAGCTGAGTTAAATTTATCCAGACAGCTCGTTGCGTGTTCCCGTTCCATTCACCAATTTTATTCACAAAACGCATTTCATCATCGGTATTTGTTCACTAAATGCTTTAAACTTAAAAAGCTTTTCGATGTAAACTCTTGTGGTAGTAAAAGCTGTTTTACAATCGAAATTAGGGGGCTGTCCTGGTGTACCGGTACACGAGGGAATTCCTTTTGTTTTCATAACCATACATGGAGTTATGACGCAGTTCGTTAATGTTTCCTTCCTTTGTGTACCGGTACACTAGGACACAACCGAAATTAGTCTTGAATCTGTCAGTCGTTTTGCTTAAGTGAACGTTCTTTTCCTCTACACAACGTAAACGTAATAGATGCAATAACATTTATACTTGACACATTTCTTAATCTTCTTTGCGTCTGGAAATATGTCGATGTAACTTTACGATCAACCGCCGTTGTTTGACGTTTACATGCATTTCTTACCACACAGTGTTACCTGAAGTTGATGAAAGTAACCGTACGAAAATTCACCGTCGCAGATAGCTTTAAGTTCAGCCAGTTTAATAGTTCTTCAATGTCACTGCGTTGAGACTGTGCAAGAAAGGCGCCTTTTGGTAAGTGGAGATGGCTATACATTAAGATGATGTTGTCATTTGCATCACTTACAAATGAAATCGTTAAACCATTAATTATTGTAAAAGCAGCATTTGTGTTGGTAAGTCTTCTACTCAAGTGAAAACTCAGGGCAGATTCCTCACTTGAATTAGGCTCCTTGACAAAACAAACAGTGAACTCCTCTTCATAGCTCAAACTACCCAGGCTGCTTCTGACAAGAGGTATGGCTTCAACAACACCAAGATATGATGGTGACTGCATGAAACTGTCATATGCTTGATTTCCCCCCATTATACATGACATGAAGGCTAGAATCCAGCTTGGAGTCAGTGGTTGGTGGTTTTCCAGTTGAAGGAAGGGTTTGTTTGTCACCAAAGCAAGTTTGCAGAAAATGTGTTTCCTTGCTTTTTGCTTTTGGATCACACCGTTGGTTTTTTGTTCACATTCTTAAGTATGTCTTTGCCAACAACTAAGAAATAGCTGTAGAAGCACTGCTGCCTTGATGACCCCCAATTGTTGACTGAGATAGGAAGGCTGCCAGTTCCCAGAATGTGACTGATTGTGTAGTTGAAGAAGGAACATGTATTGAAGTGGATTGTGGTGGTACACTTAAGTTAGAAAACTGTTTTTGAGCTACTGATGGTGTTTGTTGTTGAGATTGATTTTGTGATTGTAAAAGGTAAGGGCAGGTAAAGTGAGAACCTCAAGGTCTTTGGTGGCAAGGTTATCCACAGTTGAAAAGTGGTTTTGGTGTGAATTTGCAACTGAAGCAGGCCTTTCTGTGCTATGTCATCTTTCTTAAGTTGTCCTGTGTGGAACACTTGGTTGTGGTATAATAAGCTGTTCTAGATTTCTAGTTATCATATTTCCCTCATCATGGGACTTGTAAAAGTCTGAATACCTAGAAGCATGTATTGCTAGTTGGCTTTTGGGCTGTTCATGACTATTGTGGCTGTCTGAAATGTTGCTACTTGTATCATGCTCTATAATACCTTTATTGAAGGAATCACCTAACTCATTTACTCTTGTTAGAAAAGGATCATTGCTCCATCAACTGGATGGACAACTGCTATGGCTGGGAGACTTGATGCTATATGAATTGCTGTAATTGGGACAACTTTCAATCTGGAATCCAGTATCCTACTAATGGCCAATAGGCAATCATATTTATTAACTTTGAGCTCAGTTTTTGATGAGTTCAAGAAAGTTAATTAAATGTTATAAACCACTCACTCTGCTTTGCCACTTTGATTCTGTAAAATGCAAATTTATTATCTTCACCAGTGAATAGATGATAAAGAGAATTCTTTGCATTTTAGGAAGCCAAGAAGAAGGAATTTGATAGACGTCATCAGGGACAAGAACTTGGTAAAGCCAAAATTGACTGAGAGGAGAGATGAGCACAAAATATTGTGAATCAAATCAAAGAAGAAAGAGTAGACCCACAGGGAAGTTGTGCTGCAGCAGATTGCTAGAGATAAAGCAGAAAGGGAAGCAAGGTGACAGAATGAGGCACAGGAGAGACAGCATCCACAAGCCCCCTCACTCTCACCTTCAACTACCTTGACTGGAGATAGTGAGGGGTTAGGAAAGACTGAGTGGTAAGTAAGGTAGAAATGCAATAACACATGTCATTTGTACAGGTTTTGAGTTCTTGAATATCCGTCACTTCTACATTGTAAAAGTAATTAAAGTACATGCTGTTTATAACATCAGCCATTACTTCAGTTATACCTTGTTGTATTGTATTGTTATTAAATGCACTGTACATGCAACAGAGACTTTTTGTTTTTACTCAGCATTTCTGCCCGGCTCCAGTTTTGTCTTCCAGATGGCAGTTTGTTAACAAACTCTTTCCCACTTGATACTCCTTTGGAGAAAGTATGTCATCACTGTGAATAGTTGATTTTTACAAGTACATGTAAAACAATGAAAAAAATTTTAATAGTTTTCAGGGAATTCTATTAAGATAAGTAGAGGAGAAATCAGTGTTAAATGTATTGGAGCTATATAATTGTTAGGTTCTTATTGAAGGGGCCAGAAATAGTTTTCCTTAATTTTCCTCCTAAAGTCAGACAAGATGTACCAATTCCTAGGTCTGCATTAGATTCTTAATTTTCTGCAACCTTGGTGGTGTGTGTCCAAACTAAGGTTCTCTTCAAGACCATTTGGTTTTTTTCAATTGTCCTTACAGCCATCAACCCCTCCAAAACACAAGTGAGCTCCTTTGAGCAAATTTGTTAAAAATCTTCTAAAAATTAGTTTTATTCATGGGGATCTTTTCAATTGTTCTCAGCAACCAGGACCCAGTATCAGCTCAATAAGAATGTACACCACCTACCCTAGACAAGAGCTGACTAAAGAAGACCTGGTAAAGAGTTTGCCTGAGTAAGGTCTGACTCTAAGTTCCTCTTTAATTGTAGCTGTGGTAAGTTTTAGATTAATATAAAATTTTTTTTTAAACATTCATCCATTGGAAAAAGTGAATATTTGTCTCATGTGAACCTGGCATACAGCTTAGCCCACCAATGAGTTCTGTTTATATGTGTGTAACTCAGAGTTAGGTAATGGAGGTTGAAACTTCAGGAAATCAAAGTAGGGTTATGTTTAAGGAAAGCTTGGGTGCCACTTGCAACCAACTTAAGCTTTTTTCTTCTCCTTCACTCCCAATGAATGTTGAATCTTTTTTTGTTGTTGTTGTTTTTATTTTTCATTGTTTAATTATTATTGTACTTGTGAAAAATATTTCCTCAAATTCTTTGAGTAAATTTCCACGTCCCTCCACCATTCAGAAATTTTCCAACACTTAAAAAAATAAATAAGTACCGGTAACACTAAACTTAATTTTTTTTTCACAGAGAGGAAGTAATTTCCTCACTCCATCTGGGACTTCATCATTCCCTAAACTGTTGTTATGGATTCTTTCACCTCTGTTCACACTGATTAACTTCCTGAAAGCTTTTCCTATTTGGTAGAGGGACACAGAATACTCCTTCACAGAGAACAAACAGCAGCACACAGTCAAAACCATCAAAGTGAGTCTTCTTTTGGTTGTTTCCCTTTTGTAAACAGTTACACAGTTTATTGTTCAACTGTATCAAACTAGTTTGGTTGTTTGCTGTTTGGTATTAGAATGAAAAACCAAAAACCAAAAACCAAAAAGAATTCCCTGATATCAAGTTTGAAGAATTTGATTTACAGTCAATGTTATTGTCCATTGTTTGTTTTGTTTTTTGTTTGGCTCAATGTTTGACAGATTAAAGTTTTGGAGAATTAAACAACTTTTGAATGTTTGAAAATGCACATATTTTTCCACTGGTGACTCTGGACAAAATATTCAATTATCACAATTTGCAAATTTCACAAACAGAAAGATAGTCTCATGTTTCAGGTTGCCGTTTTCAGTGAGTAAAATAATTTTTTTTTGTGAATTTGGGCTTGCATGAAACAGAATCAGGATCAACACCTGAACTCCTTCCTTGCTAAGGTTACATGCCAATCTTTCTTGCTGTTTTTTTGTTTTTTTTTTTTTTTTACATGGTAGTTGTGGAGTACATCATAGAGTCCTGGGTAATGTTTCATCTGGAATTCACCAGCTTCACAACAGAGATGATGAAGATGACAACAGTAACACATGGAATGGAAACTCTACTCAGCACACATAACCAAATGATCCAAGATTGTTCAAAATATATGGAGAGTTTAAAATTTGGTCTCTGATTTGGAATAATTCTTGTTAAATAGATTAGTGTGGAGATGAGCTTTGTTGTAAGAGTGATAAGAGTTTGTGACAAATAATGCATTGATACAGAAACAATTTTCCTATAGGAAGGAATCAAACATTTGTGTTAGCTCATCTTGTATACAATTATATGTTGTGACTAGCCTGTATTGTCCATTATTCACAGAATATCAAAACAATTGAAAACAGAGAACAGTTTAAAAGTTTTCTTCAATGTATTTGATGATTAATGACTAAACAATTTTCAATGTCTTGCCCAAAGTTGTGACTAACTTCCAGTTGTCATGACAGTTACAGTTAAAATGTCAAAGGATATTACTCCCCGGTCCCTCAAGAATGCAGAGAGAGACATGGGACCAAGGCCAAAATGAAACATACTAAATGATATTGGAGTGAGTGGTATAGAATAAAAGAAAAGGAAGTTTTAAATAATCTACAGTGTACATCAATAATGTTTTTTTTGAAGCTTTTGAAAGGACCTCCTTTAGACCTGGTTTTTTTTTTGCTCAACGTTGCACGCTTTGCATTTTCCTCTTATCCTCCTTTCACTATTCCCAGGCCCCAAACAAACCATAACTATTGTGCAGACCAAGAACTTTAAGTTTCGGCTTCCGCTTACGCCACAATTCAGTAGTTGGTCAGCCGGTTGTTGAATTGCTATGTAACAACCTGAAAACTTTGATCAATCGCTTCAAGACCGTAATCTTTATTTACGGTGGCGCTGAGGTGACTGCTGTTTCACATCGAACCCATCAGAAGCACCAACATCTTGCACTGTGGTAATAAACAGCGAGTCCTGCTTGAGACATTTTCCACCTTCGCTACGGGTGATTACACTATGTGAGGTCAACTCTTGCGGTAAGATTACTGACTCTTTTTTCCGTCTATGTCTGCTAATGTTGTTTTCGTGCACTTGGTGGCTTACTACCAAAGATTCACTAAACAAGTGCAATATCTCATTGGGAATTATTTATCACGGCGTCCGTAGATTCCTTGAAAAGCATAAGGCAAAGCCTAAAAATAATGTAAACGATCAATGTTTCACACAACTTTCAAGAGTTAGTCTAAATTACATACACTCGCACTTAAATAACCAAGTTCAGTGGAAACAATAATATTGATTAAGTTAGTACGCGTATTACGAGACTTTACTTAATGTTCCTTGGTTTTGATTCAGTGAATTCCTTATCTTTTGTCAAACAACAGGCAATTCTTATGTGACAATTTATCTTAGACAGCTTTGCTATGAAAAAAAGTATAAAAGCCAATAGTATTTCAGCTTTTCAATTAACGAGTACAAAGTGCACTTATTATGTTTGGAAACTGTTCCTTTGACGATGCTATCGTAGCTTTAGTTCATTTTGTAGCCAAAAACCCTACGCTTTCAATTTTATCGAGCCGTTTTTCGACTCATAATTACAGGCATGCAACTGAAAAGATGTTCTTAAGATAATTTTGCTAGTTCCTGTTAATCGAATAAGTTATCTTCCTGTAACTTTACGGAATAAGTAACAAGTTTATTACAAGATTTTATTTCCCTTTAACTAGCTTTGCTTCGTCTTCTAATTTCAAGTTGTGAATTTTTTTATCGTGAACGCTTTCAAACTTGTTACTTCGTTCTTTTGACCTAAGTGCATTTTACTCGTATTTTGTGCTAGGAAATGCAGTGTGCAAATGGTAGACGCTTCAGATGTAAAAGAACGCATACAAGCTAGTACATTGTATGGCTTTTCAAATTATGATTACATCGATAATCATAAATGTTACAATTTCTTCGACTATGATTGGTTTAAAAAACTCCTATTTTCTGCTAATTCACTTGCCAAGTTGTTATCGGACAGTTCAATACGCCAATCACATAAATGGTTATAGTTTAAATCAACCAATCAGTCCTTTTTTGCAAATTTTCCCTTTCTTTCATACCTTGGCTATTTTTCTTTTCACGGAAATTGTAATTTTTAGGATAAATTGGTAATAAGACTTCGTGTAGTCCAATTCGGTCTGTAATCATACTCGTGATAAAAAAAATCAGACTCCCACTGCGTGGTCGTCCGATTTTGTTATCACTCGTACGATTACCGACCGAACTGGACTCCACTCAGTCTTATTACCATTACTTATTACGAGGAATTCTAAATGAATTGCTGTTGGAACCGAGTGCTGACTATTTGAAAAGTCCTTGTCTGCTTGAACTCCGTGAGAACGCCGTCGAGGTTGATCTCCGTGTGCCTGGAAATGGTATCGAGTTTTCGTTACCGCCGGCAAAGTTTTTCTTTACTAAGCTATTTTCCCCCGATTTAATAGCGTTCCCACCAGAAAACCTGATAATATGCAGCAGCCAAAAAGCTTATTGTCACAGTGGTTAATGAACTCAACGTTAACCTATATTTTCGTGGAATTTTTGACGCGGACTTTCCCAGAATATTCAATAACGAAGAAATGCCTTAATCGAATGATCGCGTTCATCCGTGAAAGCAACGTTTTGGTAAAAAATTTTGATGGAAAACATCAACAAAGTCTTGTAAAAAGTCCTGCAAAGTCATGCAATTTTACTGATCGGAAAGAATACAAACCCCTTTGCTTCTTGATTCCTCAGTTCGGCAAAATTTTGACCTAACATTCGTAGCGACCCTGCAAGGTTCAAGTGTAAGCGCCGGCAGATTCCAGAAAGGCAAGGTTCAAGAAAGTTCTTGGACATCAAGTTCAATTTTTACGAAGTTCAATGGAACTCCGTGTATTTGAGCTGTTATGGGAAACGTAAAAAAAAAAAAAAAAAAAAAACGAGGTACAGGGGAATTCGAGTGAGCTGTCTAACGCTCAGAGACGTTGTGCTTATTAGGTGTTAAGCCACCTTTGCGGACCTTTCGAGGCAGTTCTGTAAATATCGTTCACAATCCCCTGGTCACTAAAGGGAGTGAAAGGGTTATTAATTGATAAAATATCTTTTTCCTTGATACTACAAGCTCAGAATAGAAAATGTCTAGATCGAAGTACTCTCATAAGTTTACAGTACCACTGCTGTTACCAGGATCATTTAAGCAAAATTAATCAATCAAACTATATGAGATTAACAATGATTCCAACTCAATTCATTTTATAAGAAAAACAAGAAAAGTTTTTTGAGAAGTTCAAATGTTGTTCATTTTTTGTTGTGACATGTTGTGTGACATGTTATTTCGACTCTGATTCCCCCTATATAGGGAAGTGTTTTTTTCGTCTTGAATCATGTGCTTTGAATAGAAATGATCGTGGCCTGAGCTTCTGTTATTTTTTTCTGGTTCCGTTTCTGCATTTCGATCCACTCGTTTCGTGTAATTTGATTACTGGGATTTTTTTTCGGTCAGCGGATCATTACAACAATAGTGCCACTAAAATATCATTTTACCCTTACCCATTAAATAGTGCAATTGGACTCTTGTCATCAAGCTTGTATAAGAGGGAAGTCTACCTCTGTTTTTTTTTCTGAAGACTTACCAAAAGCATATGATAAAGGAATTCTTCCTATTTAGTTTTACTATTTACACAAAACATTACATTGACTAATGTAGCGAAGAAACCAAATAGAAGCTGGTTGAAGCTTATGATATTTGTGTTCGTTTTTTAGGGTTCCTTATACTTTTGGTTCTTACCTTCCATAGTTGAGATAAATTTAACCCCCTTGCCATCTTTGCTGGTTGAAAAAATTCTAAAAAAGGTATTTAGACATCTTTACTTGTTTAATTCTGGCGCGAAAGAACAGAGTAGTACGAGTCAATGTATAATCTGAGACAAGTTAGGGCGTAAAGATTTAACAACCCTTTACACCCTATCATTGGTATGCATATTCTCCTCACTGTTCTCTGTACATTTCTTTAGGTGCTGACAAGGAGAATTTGTTTTACAATCAAGAACTTCTTTAGTTGGTGATCATTTCCTTTATTCTCGTGACCTCGATGTTTGATTCAGGGGTTGTAAGTAAAGGAGAAATCAGACTCTGGTCACCCTAGATTAAGGGTTAAATCACAAGGCTAAGGTCAATCTCTCCCTGCTCACTTGGGTGTTGTCCCTTAGCATGGAGGTCCTGTAATGGGCGCTAAAATTTCTTAATACTGTTTTTCTTTCTTTTTATTGTTCTTTTTTTCGCATCTGCAAAGTCACCAACATCAAAAACTTGTACGAAAGATCTCTAAATTTACAATACGATAATTGTTTAGGTTCAGGGATCAGTTGTTATTTATCGTCGGGGGAGGGAGGGGGGGGGTGGAGGATCGGAGGATTTCTGTTGCGTCACGATGAAATTTACCAGATTTCGTCATCACAAGGCTGACTGTAATATTCTTATGATCTCCACTTATTGACAATTAATGGGCAGGAAATTTTCTCTAGTTCCCCATTGTGCTGTGTTTCAATTGGCGACGAATGATCCCCGTACCGGGCCCCCTGAAAACCATGTGATCCATCCCAAAATCCTCCGCCCCCATGCCCAGGCAAAAAATAAAATGACTGGTCTCTTAAAACTATAAATGAATAATATTAATAGTAATAATAATAACTTAGATTCCTCTGTTAAGAATAGAAGTAATAAATTTCAACTAACCTGTAGTGTGATGCACGATGGCTTTCCTGTGATTTTTGTATGCTGCATTGTTTTTCTGTAAGAATTTCACAACGTGTCTTGGAGCAAATTTCCATAAAGAAGTTGTTTTATAATCTGCAGAACGAAAATAAGTTGTATCACTATAGGGTCACTCTATCATATGTGTCTATTTGACAACTTAAACCGAACTGTGATCTTACGATCCAACTTTCCCTCTAATGCGAATTTAATATATAGAACGTTTTAATGGAGGGTCTCAATGGGGTGATGGTTAAGATTTTTGCTGTTGTATGGCTAACTGTAAATTGTTTCTGCTGTTTTACGCCTAAGGGTTGACCCCACGAAGAGCTTCTTAATAAGCTGTGCAGTTCGAAGATGCCTGTGAACATCGGGCCAATGTCCAGTGCCCAGACATCCACCAGAACGCAAGCTAAGTAAAGTGCTACAAGTTCGTTTGACTATAAAAACATTAAACCTACAGGAGGAGTTTTGAAATGCCCAAAGGGTTACTCTACAGGCTAAAATTTTTGGAATGTCTCTGGAATTCTTTTCTAAAGATGTTATTGGATCACTTGAATCCATCTTTTTTTAAAAAACAAAACAAAACAAAACAAAACAAAGCAAAACAAAGCAAAAAGAAACAGGGGCGTTACTACTTTAATAGAGTTGAAATACGGATTGGCTATATTATCGTAAAACAGATGCACCACCAACTTTCTTGAAAGAATTAATTTCAGGCTGACATTTTTGCAGCGGCTTCGCTGAAAAATTCCTGGTCTAATTGCCCCACTTTTAAATCTCTCCCAGCAACCAGCATTGAAAGCAACTCTAGGCCCAGACATTATCCCCAGATCACAAGGATGTCGCCTTCATCATAAACCTGCAGTGGGGAAAGAAATTTGTGTGTAACGATATTCCAATAACACTTTTTCTCAAATTACAGCGGAAATTAGATTTCCTGCAAGGGTTTGCATGTCTGCCCCTGTTCTGAAGTACTTTCTAATGAAATCGTTGCGCTTAGTAAAAACATTTGTTGCACTTTGTAATAAAAAAGCTGTCACACTTTGTGAGAGGATCTCAACTGGGTTAGCCGTTAGCCGTAAACGGCCATAAAATTTAAACGTTAGGCGTAAAAATCGATAAATTTAACCGTCATTCGTAAGAAAAGGTAAACGTCAAAATGTTTTCCTCTCTTAGAATGTGTCATTTTCTGTCATTTTGAGATAACCATTAGTCGTAAAAATGCCAAAATTTTTACCATTACCTTAAAACCATCACCCCGTTGGGATCCTTTTGTAATTAACTTGGTATAGATGGTCGGAGAGCGAGTAGACCCGAAAATGACCATCATCCTTGTCAGTAACGACAAAATTGTTATTAATTAGATTAGGTATTTTACGCAATTGTACACCATTTGGTTCTTTTTCATAATGATAATTATAATGATCTTGTTAAATGTTATAATTTTTAGGTTGTATATTTTAATCATTAGATGACAATAATAAAAATGATAATAATAACTTTATTCACAACTTAGTCAGAATATTTACAGATGGATGTAGAACGAAAAACAAATCGTGTTTTATGTACAAAAATGTATATTAACTCCGACGAACTTGCAGAGCCAAAGCAAAATAAGAGTTCACTGATAAAATTTTCAACATAAATAGCAGCTATTTAGAATTCAATCTTTCAAATACTTGTGAACAATAAATGGTCTAAAAGTCAATATTTACAAAGACAATTTTTTTTAAATTAAGGAACATATAAAAGAATATAAGTCTAAATTTCAATAGACATGGCGCTTTCTGTTGTTTGGGTTTGGGTGTCAATGTCAATGTTCTTAACCCTTTAACTCCCAAGATCTCACTAGTAATTCTCCTTACTGTCTGCCAAATGATTCTCATTACACTAGTTTGGAGAATTTGGTATTGAATCAATTAGTAATCCCATAATTGATATTTTTCCTTATTCTCATCACTTGTCTGTGTGATATTGTATAGATATAGTAAGGAGAAATTCTGTCTTGGTCACTCACGGGAGTTAAAGGGTTAATGTCGCACGGGACTTTCTTAATAGTCCTTGAGCCTCTTAGACTCAATAAGTGGATCTCAGTAATGAGAAAGACTGTTTTTAGCTCTAATCCATGAGATGGTCTTCGCATAACTCTCTTCTTCCTTAATTGAAATCAACTCAGCTAGTCGGTTAGGGTATCTGCTGCATTCTTTTCCCATACCTCCGGTTGTGGTGAAGACCAGTGGTGTAAATGTACCATGTTCAACTTCTATAACTCTTTCCCCATATAGACGCTTCTTCTCGTTTTCGTGCAATATTCGTAGATCTGGTGTGATTCAAGATCTTGATACAAGTCTGCATTTGGGTGACATACCCTAACATCAAAAAAGGCAGATCGTTGTCTTTCCCAAAATCCACGTGCACGAATGTCCAGTCTTGCTTCCGGGGCTTTGTTTGTCCTTCTACTTAGTTGTTCGCCTGTAATGTCTTGCAGGACGGGTTCTATCTGAACATTGCACACTATACTAAGTTACTCAGCGTCGATATCGCGTAAGTTATTACGACGTTGAATTACAAAACCCCGCGTGCAGATCATGGCATGGTCTACAGAAAAGGCTACGCCCCAAACGCATGTTTCAAATGAACATGGAGCATGGAAAAAAACGGAGCTTGGGACCAGAAAAACTCCAAAGGGCGGGTACCAAAGCAAGCGCAAGGAAATCCCATTCTTAGTTATTGACAACTACGGCCAGCTAATAAACATAAAAGTCTGCTAAATCAAGATGCGCAGGTCTTAGATAATCAAAATACGTCTTTTGTACGAATAAAGCAACATCACAACCATAGCAACAAGAACAACAACAACAGTCTTAGATCGACGGAATAGCACCGCTCCGGGTGGACCTGTTGGTAGTCCAAAATGGCACATGGTAAGAACAAATCTGACTAGGTTTCGATCTTTCAACGTTTTGTGTAGTTAAGAGCAATGAGAATTCGGAAAGATTTTGTCGCAGCAAGTGGATCTTTTCACGCGTGAAATGAAAACAAAATGCGCGCGCTTCATCATTTCATGAGCAGAATTGTCAAAAATCCGAGACTGTAGCAAGTGGAAAGGACCCCAGGTAAGTGCAGACAGGGGATAGGCACAAAACGAAATATTTTCAAGGCAACATAGTACTATGGAAAACATTGCAAGATGGAATTTCTGAACAAGAAGGTTTTTTTTCTACTCGTACAATAGTACGGTATTTTTGTGCGCGCTTACAGGTTGGAGAAAGACTTGTTTACGAACGAGGTTTCGTTTATACTGAACTGCTCATCTCATTCGTCATTCTTTTTGTTTGAAATAACTTTTTCAATTTTTGGGGATGATCGCCTCTCTTTGCTTGAAATGAAGCTTCTCAAGTAAAGTGTCTGGGCACGGCGTGGACCCTGGTTACGGGTCAAAACACTGTCTTTACAGGGGAGGGGCAGGGAATAAATTTAAGGCTAAAACTTGGCGAACTTTTCTAACGAATCACAGTCGATCGTCTGGCAGACGTTATGGAAGGAGGGTATTAGAGAGTATTGGACAGAGTATCTCTGTCCAAAAACGTAAAGGAGAACTCTAAGTGATCGATAGAGAGGAAAGCAATCTTCAGCTGCTCGTTCATTTTCTGTAAACGTCTACTTTAGTATGGCGGCCGTTTCTTTGTCGAATTGCTTGACAATCAATTTATATGGTGAGGGTCTTATTGTCGTAGAAATGTAATAATCTACATTTTTTTTAGAAGGAGCGCCGTTGGATTATTTTACATATTACAATGGCTCACTTTTAAGCTTATTTTTAACATTTCCCAATTGAGCGAAATTGTTCACATAATCTGGATGATAGAACAGTGGAGGAAAAATGATGATAATGATAATGATAATGATGACTTTGATCACATGTCAAATAACATCTAGCAGAGGAGGAATACCACCCCCCTTTCCCTACTAATAAAGGGGCACCTAAAATACCCCTAGCCATGCAATATAACTTGAAATCAATTAAAACAATCCAAACTAATGATACATACAACGAACCTTGTCTTAAGTGCACTAGATTCTCCTTATTTTGAAACCCTGTTTATCAAATCTCTTCGAGTCTACTATGCATGAACCTATAAGGATTTACCAGCTTTTGGTTTATCAGTCTGTATATTGTGTCAAAACTCTAAAGAATTAAGATTTAGTGTGTATATCATACATGAACTACTTGAAACTCTAAAGTAATCAAGACCAGGGTAATAGTTTCTGCTTTTCTTAAGTCACTTTTCTCCCTTTTAATATATAAAAAAAAAACCATTTTATTATTTTCATTTTAAACTTGATGCATTAGCTGCCTTAAAGCTAGGAGCTTAATAAGTATCAGGTTCTTGAGTTTAAATATAGAATTATGTATGCACCGGCTGGCTTCAAATGGGGTTTCAAGTAGGTATAGTGCATGCTGTGCTTCAGGAACAATTTGTATCAAAAGAATCAATCATAACAATTAAATGCCTTTTTTAATCAATCATTAATACTATAACAGCAAATAGGAAGTTTATTTATACTTTTCTCTTTCACAGTTTTTCAGCTAAGAAATAATTGTAATGATTTATTACTTTCAGAATGTTACTCCCAGTTCTAGGGAGTCATTGAAAATTGATGAACAGCAGCTTGACCTTTACGTTGGGAGTTGGGTGATGAATATAACATATTCTTCACAAGTAAGATGAGATTGTCGGCTCTTTCTTCACAAAAAGTGGTGAGTGATTGAAATCACAAGAGCTTGAGTTTTTGGTTCATGTAGTTTAAGAATATAAGTCTTAAAAGTGGTATGATAATCTTTTCTGAAAGGAGTTTTAAATATTTCTTTATTCAGATCACTGTGATGAATCAGGCAATGATATTTTCCTTTTGAACACTGGGAAGGTACCTTTGGTATCAAAACTGTTCCGAAGGTCAAATTCAAAGACGCTTACTGACAATCTCTGCTTGTAAGTGAGAGTATTTCTTTAATTCTATGTTAATGACTTAATTATGTTAATGACTATGTTATCCAAAAGAAAACTTTTTAAGGTGTTAATTAGATGCACACTATGCTCAGGGTATTTGGGATCCAATTAAAAGTGCAGTGTAGGTACTCACATGATGGTTATAGGGTTTAGGCATTCCCTATCATGCAAAATGCAGTGAAATTGAAGTAAATTTTTTGTTTCCTGTAATCCAAGATTTTACATCTTGTATTACCAACCATTATAACTATAATGTGGGTTAATCATCTTTGTTTGATCTCTGAATTCATAAATGTAGAAGAGTACATCTGACAAATTCACAGTTGTTATCCATGGAGAGGATGATGCTGTGAAGCTTTATTCATTATAACTATAATGGAGGTTAATCATCTTTGTTTGATCTTTGAATTCATAAATGTAGAAGAGTACATCTGACAAATTCACAGTTGTTATCCATGGAGAGGATGATGCTGCGAAGCTTTATTCATTATAACTATAATGGGGGTTAATCATCTTTGTTTAATCTCTGAATTCAGAAATGTAGAAGAGTACATCAACAAAAATCTTGTCACTGACAAATTCACAGTCATTATCCATGGAGAGGATGATGGTGCAAAGCTTTGTTCGTTTCATTTGGCGAAGAAATTATATAAACTATTGAAAAATAGATAAGAGAAGTTTGTACTGATGGAAACATATACCTACTTCAAATATTAGCAACCAAATCAACAATTATTTTGCTAAAAGAGTACAGAATATGGTTTTATCTGACAGATTTTAATAATAATATAAATTAAACTGTAACATTTCTTTCATTGCTTTTTTTCAGGTTCTTTGAACGACTGAATTTTTGCATCATTTTAAAGGCCAAATTCACCCTGAAAGCTGTTTTTAAGCTTGGCAAACCATTCATCCCGTGAGTATAAGAAACAAATAGTTTATTTCATTACTGAAAAATATGATAGTGCTTGATTTTTGAAATTCTTGTAAAATTAAAACCAAGTGAATTTAATAAAAGTGATTTTACTGCACTTGGTTTGAGTTCATAAAACTAAAATAAAAGCCATTGACCTTAAAAAAATGCAATCAGAAAAAAAGCAGAGACTGTTAGAAAGAGATTATCTGGTTTCATTAACTGAGTTAATAATGTAAATTGACCACTATCGAGTTTCTAAAGCTGATGTTTCAAGTGTTAGTCCTTCGTAAGAGCAAAAGAAGGAGTCTATTAGAACTAAAAGATAAAGCATGACTGTGAACTGCCTATAGAAGGGTTAAATGAGATTAACCAAGTTGTCACAATTCATGTTAAACATTTGAATGGCTGACAGGCTCAAATTTCCATACAGTACAAATTACACTGTATGTAAGATTTTATGAATGTGAATATTTTTTGTCGGTATTAGACAATGGAAGTTTGTGTTTAAATGCATTTTTTTAGCATTTTCAAATAATGGAATGGCATAGCAATGAAGGTTTACCCTTTAACTTCCAGATCAAATTTGTCATTCTCCTTACTGTCAACCATACAATTCTTATAATGTTAGGTCAGAGAATTTAATATTGGATCAACTAATTATCCCCAAATTGAAATTTTTCTTCATTCTCATCACTTGTCTGGTTGATACTGTAATGATATTGTAAGGAGAAATTTTGGCTTGGTCACTCATGGGAGTTAAAGGGTTAAGTTTGATGTTGTGATGTACTGGATTGCATCACATTCCGTGACATTTAATTAGTAGGTACAAATTATGACAAGTTCAAGAGAATAAGTCATGACTAACTTGCAGTCTTGTTAACGTGGAGGAGTGCATAATGTAACCGCCATCAAGATCAATTGTGTCTCCTAGTGTTACATCACAAGCTGGCTGTGAAGTACATTGCATGCTTATTTTTCGCAGAGACTCTTGAGGATCTCTCTTTCTGAAGTATTCATCATTTTGTTTAGTACCGAATATGACAGCAACCAATGGCTGTGCATCATGCAGACTGCACCCACCCCTCCCCTAACTCAACAACAGTCAATTGACAACAACTTAAGGTTAATGTTGGTCTGAGATTTTTTTTCCAGTATGCCCTCTGGTGTTCCTTCAAGTTTGGAAGTTAAAGAAAAAGGGATGAGTGATGGCCTTTTACACAGCTGTTACGCTGTTTTCAGGTTCTTGTGCGGGGTGAATCGATTGCAAGCTAATTGGTTGGTAAAGATGGACTTTGCGCAAGAATGGGTGCAGCAGTTTCATCTTCTTTAAGAGAATTGGGTTTGGAGGAAATGAAAATGGAACAATGGAAAACTCTAGAAGTGATTGGTTTAGATTCCAGAGAAGTCCTCTTGCTCAGTTCTACTCCAGATGCAAAAGTTGATGATTGTACTAGTGACAGCACTTGAACTGGAATGACTTCAAAAAAGAAACAATGTTTTGAAACTCTTACAAAAACACTCCATTTATTCGCCCCTAACATATGACATACCTTAGACAACTTTTCTGACTTTTCCTTGATCTACTTAACAATGAAAACATGTCAAACAAGTTTCTTCTGACCTTGCTTTGATATTTTCTTGTTATTTTAATGTACTTTGTTATTATTTCAAGTGAGAATAAATTATTTAACACCTATTGTACTATTTACTTGTTCCAAGAAAACTTAAGGAAGCAAAAATAAAAATTCTTACTTGTGTCACAGCTCTATCTACATACTACGAAGGCACCATTTTTCTACTGTACATGTTGTGGGTTTGAACTGAAATCGATCAATCAATCAAACTTTATTTACCGGGGGTGGCACGAAACAGTACAATACTGATAAACGAGGAAGAGGAAAGCATAATTTCATTTTTCTTTCAGGATATACATATGAAGTTATTACTGAACTTTTAGCTAAGGTTCATGGCATTACGATGTTTGTACGAACATTAAAAAGGGTTGAAGAATTTGAACTTACAGAATCAAATGGAGACTAACCAAACACAAAGAATCTAAATATTAAAACAAAAGGAAAATACAAATTATGCAGTGTTTTTTTTATCCTGAAGGCGAGATCTTCGTATTGGAAATAATATCGTAAAATCTAATAGCTCATTCATTTGATCGATTTGTTTCTTCGTCTAAATGCCCACCAGCCAGGTACTGCCTTAAAGAGGGAATTTGCGCAGTCTGGACGACAACGCCAAGGAAAACGTTAATTAATAAATAAATTTTTATTTTTCTTAAGAATTTGGCAAATAACTCGAGTGGATATGATTACTGTCTCTAACAGCGCCAGAATGCATCGAGTTCCAAGTGGAATAAATCATTTGTCATCGGGTCATGATAGTGTACCCACTACATACCGAGTTACTCCTTAAATAAACTACTCCCCTGGTAAAAAGTGGGCAGTTAACCCTCCCACCCCCAGGAGCGTCTGGCATCTAATTTCTCTTTACAGTATCACCCTTTAATTGAATGTAAAGGTTATGAGAATAAAGGAAATGATCACCAATTTAAGAAGCTCCTTATTCTCAAAAACAATTCTTGTTAGTATCATAGGAAATGTAAGGAGAACAGGATGGAAAATGTGAAAGCTCAGGGTGGGGAAGGAAAGGGTAAAATGTCACCAAACCTTTGGCTTGTTTTATTCCCTTGCTAAAGAGGATTCAAGTACATTCACACAAATATACAAAAGCAGTGTTTAAATTTATTCAGCCTATAAAGGATAAAAAAAGAGTCAATAAAAAGCATATCTACAATGTCCTCATTATAACTGAGTTGATGATGGGTTTACTGTGGCCAATTTATATTATCAACCTTGTTGATAAAACTGATCATTTTGTGATACCTGGCACTGATACTAAAAAAAAAAAAACCCTATACACATTCTATGTTACCTAGTTTTCAACAAAAAGAATGACATAAAAGTATGGGAAATCTTTTTGCATTTAATTATTGCTTCTAAGATAACTAAATTTAATGTTTTCTTTTACAAAAACGAATGAGTCTTGTTTGGGTTTCTCAGGACTTTAGCCTTGCTTCCCTGCCAGTAACAGAAATGAATAAGAAATAACAAGTGTAAGTATTCAGCTTGGGTATGAGTAATTTTCAAAGATTCCACTCTTTCCTGAAACGAAACTTGTTAAATAATCAGGATATTTTATTGGTCTGTTATGACTCCAGTTGATAGATAGATAAACTTTATTTATATGGGGTAACACATTCAGCTATAAGGATGGTATCCAGAGGGGCCTGATGTTGAAAACTAACAATACTGTTATAGAAACTACTAGTTAAGAATATTTAAATATTTACAAATATATTCCAAACATTTTATGAGGTATAATAAAAGATTAAGAAACTTAAAAGCAGCCTTAAAGTATAAAAAATTTAAAAAAGGGAATTAATAAAAGAAAGTAATTTTTAATTTAATGTTTAAATATCTACAAGTACTCAGCTTGCTCCACTTGCTGTGAAAGAGCACATTTTCTGCTTAGATGTTTCTGAAGTCTGAGAATAAGTAATCATTGCACTGACACTGCATAGACAGCCAAAACAACACAACATCACATTTCATGACTGCCATTTAAAACAAGCTCTCTAAAATCCCCTCCCCTTGTCCATTGTTTATTTTCCACATTTACACATAACCTTTTCAGCAGTCTCAAGATACCTCCTAAGTTGACTAGTTACTATCTTCCCTCACCAAACTGATTCACAGCCAATTCTGAAAGGAGCCACAGGACACTTGTCAGCCATTTTTTTTTTGGATGAACACCAACAAAATTGTTGATTTGTTGACATTCAGAAACAGTGATTGTGTCCTTTGCAGGGTTACTCCTGTAGATGAAGGCTGATGTCCTTCCATGTTCATCCACTTTGGTTATAGTAAGGTGTTCATTTTCAGGAACCAAATGAATACCTGCCAAACAAAAAAGACAGATCTTAATAAGATGACTCCTTTGCAAGTTATATAATAACAAAAACACCCAACTACTTTAAAATGCAATTGTTGAAAGAACCCTTACATTGTTGAGAGTAACATTTTTGGAGGATGTACCCCACAGCACTGGTCAACCTCACACATATTCCATGCTACACTTCATTGTGTCCAACATAAGGTCAAAATAATCTTACTCACCATGGGTATCCTTTTCCCAAAGGTAAACAATGATACACCTGACAGTTTTCATGACAACTGGAGGCGAGTCCACAAAATTTTCCAGAAAACCCATGTTCCCTATTACATCATCTTGGATACTTGAATAATCATACTGAAATTGGCACTCCTGTGTGTCACTCACATTCAGTTGTACTTCATGTGGAAGTTGTACAACTATTGAAAAAAACAAAATACAGTCAAGTCTACAAACTCCAAGATAGGCAGAAAATGTGATCTATTACCTATTCTCCTTGGCCTGCACAGGCAAGACAAAAGTCCTGTCCAATAGCCACATTTCTATTAATTTTAATCTCAAGACTGAGCAGATTAGGAAAACTGCATAAAAAAAGTTTCACACGGCCTAGCAACAAATGCAATGCAATACTCACTTCACTAGAGCAACATCAAATACTAATTTGGTTCCACTTTAATTTAACTTAAGGTTAACAAAAATCTTAAGTAATAACCAATTCACACCAAAGCTTAAGCTTGTTTTAAAGCTATTTTGTTAATTAAACACACTTTAAAATCAGATAATTTGGTTTCATCAATTTAAACATCAATGACTTGATGATGTAAATTGGCCATGGCAGAGAGTTTCTGAGCCAACATTTCAAGGGTAGCCCTTCATTGCAGCGAATGGTGAGCTGCTCAAAGCAGTGTTTGCCAGTTTGAAATTTGACACATTGAAATTAAGAGTTAGTGACTACTTCAATGAACCATATGAGAAATTCAGTTGTTCAGTTCTCTGTTACTGATGTCCATTCAGTTAAACACAGTTGAACGGAACATGCTCTGGTGGTGTGAAAAGGGTATTAGACTTGAGGTAATTCTGTATGTTAAAAGTCCCTGAAAATATATTTTTGCCCATTGTAAAAGTGAGAGTCAGAATCTGTCAGCCTGATCTCAAATCTTCTAGCCCCTGGCTTGCTATACCAAACCAATAAGGTTTGTTATGTTAACAATGTTAAATAAATATGAAAACCAGCACACTCAAATCAAAACAGGTTACAATTATCTGAAATACAATTACCAGGCTCATCGTCGACCTCCATTCTTTCTTTGCCATCAATGCCATATTTGGCTGCAAATTTCAATTCCAAATCCTGTTGGTGGAATACAGATAAAAATGTCATTACCTGTAATAAGCATTCTTCAATCTATGCCAAAACTGGTTTAAAATCAGCAACACAAATTCATATTCTGTGACTCACTTTTTAAAATGCTTGAACTGTATAAATAAAATTATCATCATTGAGTTTACTATAACCTTTAAGCTTTAAAGCTCTGAGATTGGCATGGCTTAAACGAATATTTAACGCAAATGATGGATCATGGAAGCGGTACTTACAACACCAATTGAAAACATTTGGAGGACTGTTCTTTGTTAATTGTAACTATGATGTTAACGATTATACAATCACTTCCCAGTTTTATCAAGAGCTTCTTCTATGATGGTCACAATTTCGTGAAACTTTCGCTACAGACTTGAATTGGACAAATATTATTTGGAATAATCAAGAAATTAGAATAGATCAAAAGCCTATCTAGTACAAAAAATTTTTTGACTCCGGATTCACTCACATCCATGATCTCCGGCGCAATTTGAATATTAATGATTCCTTCAGTTACATTTCAAATAAAATTAGAAAAATTAGCTTTCTACAATGGGCAGGTCTTCGACACTAAATACCTGATTTTTTGAAAGATGATCGTGATTACCGTATTTACCCGTGTATAATGCGCACTTTTTTTTCCATAAAAACAAGCATCAAAATCGCGGTGCATATTGTACATGGATTCTATTGTTTGTTAAACACGTCCTAATTTGCATACATTAAAAACACAACAAAGAAAGTAAAAGTCCGTGGATCGGTGGCCCAGGAGAAAGAGCTTGCTTGTTTACGACTCATTTGAAGCTCATGTGACAGATACTGTGAATGCTTCCTTCAAACATAAACTTCCCTTCTCCAGCCACTCGATGTATCTTTGAACAAACCGTTTAGAGATGGAGTCCGAAAGCAGTGGATGGCTGATGGAATTCATGAATTTACTGGACGACAAAAAAAGGCTTCGGAGGAACTGATCTGTTCGTATATTTCACAAGCGTAGAAAGCCATTCCATCAGAAATGATCGCTGCCTCTCTCTGAAGTGTGAGTGCACAAACAATTCGGATGGATCACAAGATGAATCGGTTTACAATTCAACCGAGATCACTGATGAACTTGATGATTCAGTCATCGAAAACTTATTTGAATCAGACTGCGAGTCGGAATTTGAAGGTTTCGTTGTTTAAAGACACTGAACATTTTGCTTAAATCATGCAATTGCAATGCAGTGATGATATTTGAGCTACCAGCAGTGCTGTGAGTAGAAATAATGTTTATGAATGACTTTTATGATAATAATTCCAGTTGTGAATTTAGGTATATTAATAAGGACTTCAAGTTACAACATTTGTAAAATGTTTGACTGTTATTGAATAGAAAAGCTTGTAAATAGGTGCTCGGTGCATGTGATATTTTGTAGTAGCAACTAGTTAGAAATTGTTGTAAACATATTATTGATTAATTCCCAGCTCTTGTTAATTAAGTGAAAAAATGGAAGTTTTAATTCTTGGTATTTGTCATGAAATCTTTTTTTTCGGAAAAAAGGTCAAAAATTAGGGTGCGTATTATACACGGGTGCGCATTATACACGGGTAAATACGGTATATCTATACACTAACGCCTTCTTTGCTTCAAATAAATAACAATATTTTTGATGTGAAGGAAAAGAAATCTAGAGATTATTATTCCTTACTTGTTATAAAGAAATCACAGCCTCCTAATATTGTTCATAAATGGAAAAGAGACTTTAATATCTCAGATGATCTATTGAGGGAATCTTTCATTTTACCTCACTCTGTTGCACTTGAATCCTATGTGAAGGCTTTTCAGTATAAAATCCTTAACAATATACTCTACACAAACACGAAATTGTGTAAAATTGGCTTTAGAGCTGATGACTTATGCACTTTCTGCGAAGCTGAGCAAGAAATGCTATATCACCTGCTTTATCAATGCACTTATGCGAGACAGTTCTGGAATGATTTCAAATTGTACTGGTTCTGCTTGGCAAATCAGGTAGTTCACCTGACTTTGGAAAATGTTTTATTTGGAAGGCTTTCAACACAATGCCCTTCACATACACTACTCAATTACCTTATTATTATTGGAAAACTGTTTTTGTGGGACTGCAGAAGAAAACAAATACACCCTAAAATACAAGGTTATCAGAACAAGATAGCTATCAAATATGAAATTGAAAGAAAAATAAATAAGAAAAACTTTTTTGAAAAGAAATGGATATTCAAATGAAAAGGAATGGTTAATAATTTAAAAAATCTTAAGCTGATTTGCCTTCTATCCTGTTTTTTCCCTCTTTTTTTTTTACTTTATGTTGCTTGGTTTAATTAGTTTAATTTGTTTAATTTCTTAAGCTGAAAATAGGGTAACTGCGTAAGATTGTTAGATATATCGAATTGTTATCATTTTTAACCTATTTTATGAATGTAAAATTGTAACTGTGTAAATGAAAGGTCAGAATAAAATTGTTTAAAAAAATAAAAAATCATTGAGTTTACTTGGTCAGCTTCTTAAAAATGAGTTGTGCAAGTTTTTAAGTCATGGATGATGACCCATAATGGAATAACGAGAAACAGTTTACTCTTTCAAATTCCCTGAATGATAACCATGTGATGTTCACCATTTTTTCATTTATTCCAATGTCTATCTACAAAACTCACCTTATAATGGTACTGCAAACTGATAGTTGATTCTGAAAAAGAACAGTTTACAGGTAAAAATTGAATCAACAAGAACCCTGATATTCTGTTTCACAATCAAGAGTGACTGAAAAAGATCAGAGAAGGAAGAAAAATATTGACATGTATTGATTTAGGCATATTCTTTGTTCTCACAAAAAACTCTTAGAGTTCAAATTAAAAAAATGGTCAACAGTCATTACAAGTAGCTAGTTATAGAATTTAAGTTGTGCATTTAACTGTAACAAAGCATTACATGTGGATAGAAAGCCTGTTTAGGGTCATTTGGCTCTTCATGATCAACATCATAGTTTGGGATGGCTATGTTCATTTGATTCCTCAAATTTATCAGGAGCATATATACCGACTTGGTTTTTAGCTCATTCATGCTGAAAGCAATGAATGGGGTATTGTGGTGGAGCAGATGTTGATGGAAGTTGTGTTCTGTGGACAGAAGTAGTCTCACTGATGCTACCCCTCTCCATTAAGTCGAAATTAATTTCGATGAAGCTAAAAAACTCACGTGGAAAGAATAAAATGTTTATATGGTTTAATAAAAATAATAGCCTCAAATCACATTTCTGAACTTCTAAAAATACAACTTGAATACGGTATATCTATACACTAACGCCTTCTTTGCTTCAAATAAATAACAATATTTTTGATGTGAAGGAAAAGAAATCTAGAGATTATTATTCCTTACTTGTTATAAAGAAATCACAGCCTCCTAATATTGAAATTTTCTCACCCAAGGGACCGGTAGCGGGTTCATTTCAACACATGCTGTGACCACGCAGAAGAGCAACAGATCGAAGGTGTGTATGTGCATGCATAATGAAGTACGGGGCTGTGCGGAAATTTTTCCGAATATTCCTTGCCCGTCTCTTGATCGCAATCGTTCTTAATATAATTTCGAGCCTTCATATAGTCTTCTCACTTGCACTTTCGTGAGTGGCCATTTCTTTACTTCAGGGTTGTAGATAAGAGCCGGCAGCCGGCGAAGTACGCCGGTTTCTCTGCAAGGTTTCGCCGGCCACTTTCATTGCTTCGAGAGCCCGTACAAAGATGATGTTTATCAGGTCTAAATTTGGGCTCCATAAAAATACAAATTTGCGCTGCCTATCTTTTCTGAAAACATAAGAAGTCTTCTGACTCAAAGTTAGTTTAAAAACGTTCTGATGGGGACTGTCTTTTTGACAAATCTTGCTACGGTGGCAGGAAAGTACGAACAATATGACGTTTTGTCCGCCATATTGGCCATATTGGATTTCGAGATATGAATACCATTTATCTTTAAAAAAGCTCCGGCTACTTAATAACCTTAGAGAAAACCCTGTTACTTTACTGATGGTTTTATCTCTGATCTGTTTGATGACAACGCAAATATTAATATGTGAAAATCAGACAATATGACGGCTTGAAATTCGACCAAGAACGATTGTGACCGCTTTGTTAAAAACCATAAAATGTATTTGAACAACCAAAAGCGGCACAATGCTTTCCTTTCCTTTTGGGAGAAAATTAGCTTTATCGAGATTTCAGCTAGGACCATCCATTTTCCTTAAAAATCGAACAATTTTACTACCCATGTACGAATTTCAACAAAAGCGCTCACAGACATTTAACACGAGTCAATCCTCGCCTCGTTCTCACTTGTGCGCGTTTTCATGCCCAATATAGCGCTAGGAACTATAAACAGGTCTATTATTTACATGTACTGATTTGGGAATTTATGACCTTTCACGGGAAAACGCACACTAACGGCTTTCCGTTAAACGGGTCAACCGCAAACATCAAAAGTCTAAGTGTTCGACGGGCACAGTCCTAATGGAGCCAAACGCCTGACAGTCAGAAATTTACAAAGTATTCACATACCTCTCTTTTTCGCGGAAAAGGCCATTCTGCAATTGAACAAAATTCAGGCGGAGAAACGCGAGGAATCGAATTGGCGAATTTCCCATCATTCTTTACTCTTATGTTATCAGAATGGATACTTTGGATTTATGGTACCTCAAAGTAGTTTTATAAAGTTATATCACTGTTTCCTGTAATTTTACTGTTTCTTCTCTCCTTTCTGATTGGCTGCTGTGAGGGTACTTCATGCGCGTTCCATGCGCAGATAAATTCACATCAGCCAATCAGAAGAGAGAGGAAACAGTGATATAACTCTATGAATATTCTTTCACCTAGCATAAGCCCAAAGCATCCATTCTGACAACATAGGAGTAAAGAATGATGGGAAATTCGCCAACTCGATTCCTCGCGTTTCTCCGCCTGAATTTTGTTCAATTGCAGAATGGCCTTTTCCGCGAAAAAGAGAGGTATGTGAATACTTTGAAAATTTCTGACTGTCAGGCGTTTGGCCCCATTAGGACTGTGGGGTTTTAAGCTAAAAACCTAGTCGGTATATGTACTCTCTAAGAGACCTAATGCCGTCAAAGTTAACAGCGATCACAGAGGTTTTATCCTGATCTTTCTCAGACAACCTCGATCAACAAACACTTTAGCTTCCTGTATACTCCGCATTCTTCCTATACAATATTCGGCTTATTAGACCTTGAGTCGAATGTAAAAGGAAAAGGCTTTTTCGTCGTAGACACGATATTATTCGTTATTAGACAAAGAATCTACGCCAAAGACACCCGCTGTATTTTAAATGATGCCCGTCGAACACTTAGACTTTTGATGTTTGCGGTTGACCCGTTTAACGGAAAGCCGTTAGTGTGCGTTTTCCCGTGAAAGGTTATATATGCCCAAATCAGTACATGTAAATAATAGACCTGTTTATAGTTCCTAGCGCTATATTGGGCATGAAAACGCGCACAAGTGAGAACGAGGCGAGGATTGACTCGTGTTAAATGTCTGTGAGCGCTTTTGTTGAAATTCGTACATGGGTAGTAAAATTGTTCGATTTTTAAGGAAAATGGATGGTCCTAGCCGAAATCTCGATAAAGCTAGTTTTCTCCCAAAAAGGAAAGGAAAGCATTGTGCCGCTTTTGGTTGTTCAAATACATTTTATGGTTTTTAACAAAGCGGTCACAATCGTTCTTGGTCGAATTTCAAGCCGTCATATTGTCTGATTTTCACATATTAATATTTGCGTTGTCATCAAACAGATCAGAGATAAAACCATCAGTAAAGTAACAGGGTTTTCTCTAAGGTTTTTTAAGTAGCCGGAGCTTTTTTAAAGATAAATGGTATTCATATCTCGAAATCCAATATGGCCAATATGGCGGACAAAACGTCATATTGTTCGTACTTTCCTGCCACCGTAGCAAGATTTGTCAAAAAGACAGTCCCCATCAGAACGTTTTTAAACTAACTTTGAGTCAGAAGACTTCTTATGTTTTCAGAAAAGATAGGCAGCGCAAATTTGTATTTTTATGGAGCCCAAATTTAGACCTGATAAACATCATCTTTGTACGGGCTCTCGAAACAATGAAAGTGGCCGGCGAAACCTTGCAGAGAAACCAGCGTACTTCGCCGGCTGCCGGCTCTTATCTACAACCCTGAAGTAAAGAAATGGCCACTCACGAAAGTGCGGAAAAATTTCCGCACAGCCCCGTACTTCATTATGCATGCACATACACACCTTCGATCTGTTGCTCTTCTGCGTGGTCACAGCATGTGTTGAAATGAACCCGCTACCGGTCCCTTGGGTGAGAAAATTTCGGCCTCTCGATTCAAGTTGTATTTTTAGAAGTTCAGAAATGTGATTTGAGGCTATTATTTTTATTAAACCATATAAACATTTTATTCTTTCCACGTGAGTTTTTTAGCTTCATCGAAATTAATTTCGACTTAATGGAGAGGGGTAGCATGTGAGACTACTTCTGTCCACAGAACACAACTTCCATCAACATCTGCTCCACCACAATACCTCATTCATTGCTTTCAGCATGAATGAGCTAAAAACCAAGTTGGTATATATGCTCCTGATAAATTTGAGGAATCAAATGAACATAGCCATTCCAAACTATATGATGTTGATCATGAAGAGCCAAATGACCCTAAACAGGCTTTCTATCCACATGTAATGCTTTGTTACAGTTAAATACACAACTTAAATTCTATAACTAGCTACTTGTAATGACTGTTGACCATTTTTTTAATTTGAACTCTAAAGAGTTTTTTGTGAGAACAAAGAATATGCCTAAATCAATACATGTCAATATTTTTCTTCCTTCTCTGATCTTTTTCAGTCACTCTTGATTGTGAAACAGAATATCAGGGTTCTTGTTGATTCAATTTTTACCTGTAAACTGTTCTTTTTCAGAATCAACTATCAGTTTGCAGTACCATTATAAGGTGAGTTTTGTAGATAGACATTGGAATAAATGAAAAAATGGTGAACATCACATGGTTATCATTCAGGGAATTTGAAAGAGTAAACTGTTTCTCATTATTCCTCCACCTGCACAATCACATAACATTTGTACATATATACGTTATACAATTCTTTGTTGAGACATAATTGCATTTACCTACCTTCTAGTTGTCTTGAAGAGAAAGTAGAATTGTAAAAAAAGTTCATCATGGTGCAAAATTGTATTTTGGGTCATCATCCATGACTTAAAAACTTGCACAACTCATTTTTAAGAAGCTGACCAAGTAAACTCAATGATTTGTTATTTTTTTAAACAATTTTATTCTGACCTTTCATTTACGCAGTTACAATTTTACATTCATAAAATAGGTTAAAAATGATAACAATTCGATATATCTAACAATCTTACGCAGTTACCCTATTTTCAGCTTAAGAAATTAAGCAATGATGACATTTTCCAAAGTCAGGTGAACTACCTGATTTGCCAAGCGGAACCAGTACAATTTGAAATCATTCCAGAACTGTCTCGCATAAGTGCATTGATAAAGCAGGTGATATAGCATTTCTTGCTCAGCTTTCGCAGAAAGTGCATAAGTCATCAGCTCTAAAGCCAATTTTACACAATTTTGTGTTTGTGTAGAGTATATTGTTAAGGATTTTATACTGAAAAGCCTTCACATAGGATTCAAGTGCAACAGAGTGAGGTAAAATGAAAGATTCCCTCAATAGATCATCTGAGATATTTAAGTCGCTTTTCCATTTATGAACAATATTAGGAGGCTGTGATTTCTTTATAACAAGTAAGGAATAATAATCTTTCGATTTCTAGTCCTTCACATCAAAAATGTTATTTATTTGAAGCGAAGAAGGCATTAGTGTATAGATATAATCACGATCATCTTTCAAAAAATCAGGTATTGAGTGTCGAAGACCTGCCCATTGTAGAAAGCTAATTTTTCTAATTTTATTTGAAATGTAACTGAAGGAATCATTAATATTCAAATTGCGCCGGAGATCATGGATGTGAGTGATTCCAGAGTCAAAAAATTTTTTGTACTAGATAGGCTTTTGATCTATTCTAATTTCTTGATTATTCCAAATAACATTTGTCCAATTCAAGTCTGTAGCGAAAGTTTCACGAAATTGTGACCACCATAGAAGAAGCTCTCGATAAAACTGGGAAGTGATTGTATAATCGTTAACATCATAGTTACAATTAACAAAGAACAGTCCTCCAAATGTTTTCAATTGGTGTTGTAAATACTGCTTCCATGTTCCATCATTTGCGTTAAATATTCGTTTAAGCCATGCCAATCTCAAAGCTTTAAAGCTTAAAGGTTATAGTAAACTCAATGATGATAATTTTATTTATACAGTTCAAGCATTTTAAAAAGTGAGTCACAGAATATGAATTTGTGTTGCTGATTTTAAACTAGTTTTGGCGTAGATTGAAGAATGCCTATTACAGGTAATGACATTTTTATCTGTATTCCACCAACAGGATTTGGAATTGAAATTTGCAGCCAGATATGGCATTGATAGCAAAGAAGGAATGGAGGTTGACGATGAGCCTGGTAATTGTATTTCAGATAATTGTAACCTGTTTTGATTTGAGTGTACTGGTTTTCATATTTATTGAACATTGTTAACATAACAAACCTTATTGGTTTGGTATAGCAAGCCAGTGGCTAGAAGATTTTGAGATCAGGCTGACAGATTCTGACTCTCACTTTTACAATGGGCAAAAATATATTTTCAGAGACTTTTTAACATACAGAATTACCTCAAGTCTAATACCCTTTTCACACCACCAGAGCATGTTCCGTTCAACTGTGTTTAACTGAATGAACATCAGTAACAGAGAACTGAACAACTGAATTTCTCATATGGTTCATTGAAGTAGTCACTAACTCTTAATTTCAATGTGTCAAATTTCAAACTGGTAAACACTGGCTTAAGCAGCTCACCATTCACTGCAATGAAGGGCTACCTTTGAAATGTTGGCTCAGAAACTCTCTGCCATGGCCAATTTACTTAAGCTTTGGTGTGAATTGGTTATTACTTAAAATTTTTGTCAACCTTAAGTTAAATTAAAATGGAACCAAATTAGTAATTGATGTTGCTCCAGTGAAGTGAGTATTGCATTACATTTGTTGCTAGGCCGTGTGAAACTTTTTTTATGCAGTCTTCCTAATCTGCTCAGTCTTGAGATTAACATTAATAGAAATGTGGCTATTGGACAGGACTTTTGTCTTGCCTTTGCAGGCCAAGGAGAATAGCTGATACATCACATTTTCTGCCTATTTTGGAGTTTGTAGACTTGACTGTATTTTGTTTCTTTCAATAGTTGTACAACTTCCACATGAAGTACAACTGAATGTGAGTGACACACAGGAGTGCCGATTTCAGTATGATTATTCAAGTATCCAAGATGATGTAATAGGGAACATGAGTTTTCTGGAAAATTTTGTGGACTCACCTCCAGTTGTCATGAAAACTGTCAGGTGTATCATTGTTTACCTTTGGGAAAAGGATACCCATGGTGAGTATGATTATTTTGATCTTCTGTTGGACACAGTTAAGTGTAGCATGGAATATGTGTGAGGTTGACCAGTACTGTGGGGTACATCCTTCAAAAATGTTACTCTCAACAATGTAAGGGTTCTTTCAACAATCGCATTTTAAAGTAGTTGGGTGTTTTTGTTATTATATAACTTGCAAATGAGTTATCTTATTTAGATCTGTCTTTGTTGTTTGGCAGGTATTCATTTGGTTCCTGAAAATGAACACCTTACTATAACCAAAGTGGATGAACATGGAAGGACATCAGCATTCATATACAGGAGTAGCCCTGCAAAGGACACGATCACTGTTTCTGAATGTCAACAAATCAACAATTTTGTTGGTGTTCATCCAAAAAAAAAATGGCTGAAAAGTGTCCTGTGGCTCCTATCAGAATTGGCTGTGAATCAGTTTGGTAAGGGAAGATAGTAACTAGTTAACTTAGGAGGTATCTTGAGACTGCTGAAAAGGTTATGTGTAAATGTGGAAAATAAACAATGGACAAGGGGAGGGGATTTTAGAGAGTTTGTTTTAAATGGCAGTCATGAAATGTGATGTTGTGTTGTTTTGACTGTCTATGCAGTGTCAGAATGCAATGATTACTTATTCTCAGACTTCAGAAACATCTAAGCAGAAAATGTGCTCTTTCACAGCAAGTGGAGCAAGCTGAGTACTTGTAGATATTTAAACATTAAATTAAAAATTACTTTCTTTTATAACTTCCCTGTTTAAATTTTTTATACTTTAAGGCTGCTTTTAAGTTTCTTAATCTTTATTATACCTCATAAAATGTTAGGAATATATTTGTAAATATTTAAATGTTTTTAACTAGTAGTTTCTATAACAGTATTGTTAGTTTTCAACATCAGGCCCCTCTGGATACCATCCTTATATCAATTGGAGTCATAACAGACCAATAAAATCTCCTGATAATTTAACAAGTTTCGTTTCAGGAAAGAGTGGAATCTTTGAAAATTACTCGTACCCAAGCTGAATACTTACACTCGTTATTTCTTATTCATTTCTGTTACTGGCAGGGAAGCAAGGCTAAAGTCCTGAGAAACCCAAACAAGACTCATTCGTATTTTAAAAGAAAACATTAAATTTAGTTATCTTAGAAGCAATAATTAAATGCAAAAAGATTTCCCATACTTTTATGTCATTCTTTTAGTTGAAAACTAGGTGACATAGAATGTGTAAAGGGGTTAGTCTTCAGTGTCAGTGCCAGGTATCACAAAATGGTCAGTTTTAAAGTAGTTGGGTGTTTTTGTTATTATATAACTTGCAAATGAGTTATCTTATTTAGATCTGTCTTTGTTGTTTGGCAGGTATTCATTTGGTTCCTGAAAATGAACACCTTACTATAACCAAAGTGGATGAACATGGAAGGACATCAGCATTCATATACAGGAGTAGCCCTGCAAAGGACACGATCACTGTTTCTGAATGTCAACAAATCAACAATTTTGTTGGTGTTCATCCAAAAAAAAATGGCTGAAAAAGTGTCCTGTGGCTCCTATCAGAATTGGCTGTGAATCAGTTTGGTAAGGGAAGATAGTAACTAGTTAACTTAGGAGGTATCTTGAGACTGCTGAAAAGGTTATGTGTAAATGTGGAAAATAAACAATGGACAAGGGAGGGGATTTAGAGAGTTTGTTTTAAATGGCAGTCATGAAATGTGATGTTGTGTTGTTTTGACTGTCTATGCAGTGTCAGAATGCAATGATTACTTATTCTCAGACTTCAGAAACATCTAAGCAGAAAATGTGCTCTTTCACAGCAAGTGGAGCAAGCTGAGTACTTGTAGATATTTAAACATTAAATTAAAAATTACTTTCTTTTATAACTTCCCTGTTTAAATTTTTTATACTTTAAGGCTGCTTTTAAGTTTCTTAATCTTTATTATACCTCATAAAATGTTAGGAATATATTTGTAAATATTTAAATGTTTTTAACTAGTAGTTTCTATAACAGTATTGTTAGTTTTCAACATCAGGCCCCTCTGGATACCATCCTTATATCAATTGGAGTCATAACAGACCAATAAAATCTCCTGATAATTTAACAAGTTTCGTTTCAGGAAAGAGTGGAATCTTTGAAAATTACTCATTACCCAAGCTGAATACTTACACTCGTTATTTCTTATTCATTTCTGTTACTGGCAGGGAAGCAAGGCTAAAGTCCTGAGAAACCCAAACAAGACTCATTCGTATTTTAAAAGAAAACATTAAATTTAGTTATCTTAGAAGCAATAATTAAATGCAAAAAGATTTCCCATACTTTTATGTCATTCTTTTAGTTGAAAACTAGGTGACATAGAATGTGTAAAGGGGTTAGTCTTCAGTGTCAGTGCCAGGTATCACAAAATGGTCAGTTTTATCAATAAAGTAGGTAATGTAAAGTGGCCACAGTAGACTCATTATCAACTCAGTTATAATGAGGATGTTATAAAGTCCCAAGAAACCCAAGCAAGGCTTATTTGTTTTTTCAAAGAAAACATTAAATTTAGTTATGCTATAAGCAATAATCAAATGCAAAAAGATTTCCCATACTTTTATGTCATTCTTTTAGTTGAAAACTAGGTAACATAGAATGTGTATAGGTTCTTTTTTTTTTGTTTTTTGTTTTTTGTATCAGTGCCAGGTATCACAAACTGATCAGTTTTATCAACAAAGTTGATAATATAAATTGGCCACAGTAAACCCATCATCAACTCAGTTATAATGAGGACGTTGTAGATATGCTTTTTATTTACTCTTTTTTTTATCCTTTATAGGCTGAATAAATTTAAACACTGCTTTTGTATATTTGTGTGAATGTACTTGAATCCTCTTCAGCAAGGGAATAAAACAAGCCAAAGGTTTGGTGACATTTAACCCTTTCCTTCCCCACCCTGAGCTTTCACATTTTCCATCCTGTTCTCCTTACATTTCCTATGATACTGACAAGAATTGTTTTTGAGAATAAGGAGCTTCTTAAATTGGTGATCATTTCCTTTATTCTTATAACCTTTACATTCAATTAAAGGGTGATACTGTAAGGAGAAATTAGATGCCAGACGCTCCTGGGGGTGGGAGGGTTAACTGCCCGCTTTTTACCAGGGGAGTAGTTTATTTAAGGAGTAACTCGGTATGTAGTGGGTACACTATCATGACCCGATGACAAATGATTTATTCCACTTGGAACTCGATGCATTCTGGCGCCGTTAGAGACAGTAATCATATCCACTCGAGTTATTTGCCAAATTCTTAAGAAAAATAAAAATTTATTTATTAATTGACGTTTTCCTTGGCGGTGTCGTCCAGACTGCGCAAGTTCCCTCTTTAAGGCAGTACCTGGCTGGTGGGCATTTAGACGAAGAAACAAATCGATCAAATGAAGGAGTTGTTAGATTTTACGACATTATTTCCAATACGAAGATCTCGCCTTCAGGTTAAAAAAACACTGCATAATTTGTATTTTCCTTTCGTTTTAATATTTAGATTCATTGTGTTTGGTTAGTCTCCATTTGATTCTGTAAGTTCAAATTCTTCAACCCTTTTTAATGTTCGTACAAACATCGTAATGCCATGAACCTTAGCTAAAAGTTCAGTAATAACTTCATACGTATATCCTCCTGAAAGAAAAATGAAATTATGCTTTCCTCTTCCTCGTTTATCAGTATTGTACTGTTTCGTGCCACCCCCGGTAAATAAAGTTTGATTGAGCTATGACACATCAAGTAAGAATTTTTATTTTCGCTTCCTTAAGTTTTCTTGGAACAAGTAAATAGTACAATAGGTGTTAAATAATTTATTCTCACTTGAAATAATAACAAAGTACATTAAAATAACAAGAAAATATCAAAGCAAGGTCGGAAGAAACTTGTTTGACATGTTTTCATTGTTAAGTAGATCAAGGAAAAGTCAGAAAAGTTGTCTAAGGTATGTCGTATGTTAGGGGCGAATAAATGGAGTGTTTTTATAAGAGTTTCAAAACATTGTTTCTTTTTTGAAGTCATTCCAGTTCAAGTGCTGTCACTAGTACAATCATCAACTTTTGCATCTGGAGTAGAACTGAGCAAGAGGACTTCTCTGGAATCTAAACCAATCACTTCTAGAGTTTTCCATTGTTCCATTTTCATTTCCTCCAAACCCAATTCCCTTAAAGAAGATGAAACTGCTGCACCCATTCTTGTGCAAAGTCCATCTTTACCAACCAAAGATGGTCAAAGATGGTCAGTGGTCAATTTACATTATCGACTCAGTTAATGAAACCAGATAATCTCTTTCTAACAGTCTCTGCTTTTTTTCTGATTGCATTTTTCTAATGTCAATGGCTTTAGTTTTATGAACTCAAACCAAGTGCAGTAAAATCACTTTTATTAAATCCACTTGGTTTTAATTTTACAAGAATATCAAAAATCAAGCACTATCATATTTTTCAGTCATAAAATAAACTATTTGTTTCTTATACTCACGTGATGAATGGTTTGCCAAGCTCAAAAACAACTTTCAGGGTGAATTTGGCCCTTAAAATGATGCAAAAATTCAATCGTTCAAAGAACCTGAAAAAAAGCAATGAAAGAAACATTACAGTTTAATTTATATTATTATTAAAATCTGTCAGATAAAACCATATTCTGTACTCTTTTAGCAAAATAACTGTAATACATCCACTGATGTGCAAAGTTATTAGCATCATCAGGTGCTTTTTACCAGTACCAATATAATTCACCAAATTTATCATCTGACTTCTGACTTTGTTGATTTGGTTGCTAATATTTGAAGTAGGTATATGTTTCCAGATATAAAGACACTGCACGTGACTTATGAATATTAATTAATTATCAACACAGAAACTGACACAACAAATGGTGGGAACATATTTAATGTTCTTTCAACAAATTTCACACAGTAAATTTACTTTTGCACCAAATTAATAGTACAGTTGTGAAATACACATCTGGAAAAATTCTCTATTCCATTAGTACAGTAATGCTATGCTAATGCATATGCGTATGCTAATTTCTAACGTTCACAAAAGCATAATTGTTATGATCTCTCCTGACACACGCTTTTCCAAGAATGTTTTTGAAGTGGTTCAAAAAACTTGCAGCACGTGTTTTATCGGGTCAAAAACCACTCGGCTACGCCTCGTGGTTTTAAACCCAATAAAACACTCCTGCTCGTTTTTTAAACATTACTTAAAACTCCTTCAGAAAAGATTATCATACCACTTTTAAGACTTATATTCTTAAACTACATGAACCAAAAACTCAGGCTCTTGTGATTTCAATCACTCACCACTTTTTGTGAAGAAAGAGCTGACAATCCCATCTTACTTGTGAAGAATACGTTATATTCATCATAGGTAAGATGCGATTGTTCAAAAGCAATGCGATGTACTCCAACCTGTGAGTCTGCAGGGTTTGAAAAATTTTGTTTAATAGTGGCATTTCCTTTTTAATTCAACTGTAGTTAATTAATCAGAACAAATTGTTAAATTAATTATACATTAATTATCTCAACCCAGACCATCACACAAATTTTCACAGACCTTGCAGTTGAAATCTCATGCAATACAGAATGGTTAATATAAAAAGACCTTTCACCTTTAGGTATTTTATCTATCATTCATAGGAAAATACTCATCAGGTACGAGAGCTTACTGTCAGTAAAACCCTGAGCATGATAGAATGTTATTGCATAAATTTTTCACCACAAAGATAGCTACATTACAATTTACCTTTGTCAATGTCCTCTGTTGTTGGCCTAACTGCTGAAGACTTTCGTGGCCATTTGAACCAGCAGGATTTCTAATCAAGAATAAAATCATTCAATCATTAATCAATGATCAGTCCATGTTGATTGAACTTCTTAACCACTGTCTTGATTGATGCTAAACAGGTTAACTGTCTACATTATTCATTCTGTATTCTCTCATTAGCCTTGGGTGACTGTTGATGCACCCACTGATAATTTAGGTTATCCAAAGGAAAATCAATGGCCACCACTAACCAAAGGACACTCTTATATCATCCTTTGGCAAATGAAGGTGAAAATAAAATCAATATATGCATGAATATATGAATATTAAATAAATCAAAGGTTCTTTTATACCAAACGCAAGCTCCATTGAACTTTCTACTTAAAATATTCTTTCCACTGGGCTCAGGTGATGATGGGGACTGGGGAGGTTGATCAATGGGGGGATCAGAGCTCTCCTGAACAGGCACTGTGAAGGGGTCAAATGGTTGACAATTTGAATGTTTATTTTTATGTTTAGTCGATAAGTACACATTCACAAAAAATTCCTTGATTACTCCCCAGGATAGAACATCAACTAATGTTCACTCATAGCAAGGTTTATACTGAGTCCACAAAGCATAATAATTGCAAATTACTGTTTCTTCAGCTTAACCTATTTAATATGTTACTTCTCCCTGTAATGTTCACACATTATCTGGCCAACAGATAGTGAGAATACTCAAACTAATCTGGTTTAACATTCAGATATTTAAGTTAAAGGGTTTAAACACTACAGATTGAGAGAATATTCCAACTAGAATATATAAAAGGCTAACTGCAGCCCTAGACTGAACTACTTGCTATAGAACATACTCATTAAACAAAAGTAATTACCTTCTTGACTAAGGGCATCAATTTCTGTGGAGGCCTCATATTTCTGAGCTGGAATTGGAGTTCCTCCTCCAGGCTCAAAGACTGCAGTAAGACAAAAAGTTAACTATCCTAAGAAAGTACAGATTGGTATAATAGTCCACCTGGGTTAAAAAAGGCTAACGGCATTCATGGCTGAGCTTATTGCAATAGAGCATACTCATGAAACAGCAGTAATTACCTTCTTGACTGGGGGCATGGACTGGAGTTCCTCCCTCAGGCTCACAGACTGCAGTGAGATTCTCACTTGGAGTCACTTCACCAGAGGATGATGTCAAGATTTCACACACATTTAAAGATGATGCACTACTATTACCAAACTCTTTCTCTGACTGTTTAGTGCTGCTTGATACCCTTATGACAACGTCCCCCAAGCTTAATGCAGTTGCTTCTATTATGCTCTCAATGTAAAGGTCAAGCTGCTGTTCATTAATTTTCAATGACTCGCTAGAACTGGGAGGAGCATTCTGAAAGTAATAAATCATTATAATTATTTCTTAGCTGAAAAACTGTGAAAGAGAAAAGTATAAATAAACTTCCTATTTGCTGTTATAGTATTAATGATTGATTAAAAAAGGCATTTAATTGTTATGATTGATTCTTTTGATACAAATTGTTCCTGAAGCACAGCATGCACTATACCTACTTGAAACCCCATTTGAAGCCAGCCGGTGCATACATAATTCTATATTTAAACTCAAGAATCTGATACTTGTTAAGCTCCTAGCTTAATAAGGCAGCTAATGCATCACGTTTAAAATGAAAATAATAAAATGGTTTTTTTACATATTAAAAGGGAGAAAAGTGACTTAAGAAAAGTAGAAACTATTACCCTGGTCTTGATTACTTTAGAGGTTCAAGTAGTTCATGTATGATATACACACTAAATCTTCATTCTTTAGAGTTTTGACACAATATACAGACTGGTAAACCAAAAGCTGGTAAATCCATATAGGTTCATGCATAGTAGACTCGAAGAGATTTGATAAACAGGGTTTCAAAATAAGGAGAATCTAGTGCACTTTAGACAAGGTTCGTCGTATGTATCATTAGCTTGGGTTGTTTTAATTGATTTCAAGTTATATTGCATGGATAGGGATACTTTTGGTGCCCCTTTATTAGTAGGGAAAGGGGGGTGGTATTCCTCCTCTGCTAGATGTTATTTGACATGTGATCAAAGTCATCATTATCATTATCATCATCATCATCATCATTTTTCCTCTACTGTTTTAACATTCAGATTATGTGAACAATTTCGCCCAATTGGCGAAATGTTGAAAATAAGCTTAAAAGTGAGCCATTGTAATATGTAAAATAATCCAACGGCACTCCTTCTTAAAAAAGGTAGATTATTACATTTCTACGACAATGAGACCCTCACCATATAAATTGAGTGTCGAGCAATTCGACAAAGAAACGGCCGCCAGACTAAAGTAGACATTTAAAGAAAATGAACGAGCAGCTGAAGATTGCTTTCCTCTTATCGATCACTTAGAGTTCTCCTTCGCGTTTTTGGACAAAGATACTCTGTCCAATACTCTCTAATACCCTCCTTCCATAACGTCTGCCAGACGATCGATTGTGATTCATTAGAAAAGTTGGAGCAACTTCAGAATACCCCGCAACTCATTTACATGTCATTGAATAAGAATAGCGTCTATTGTGTTATGCCTCGATCTTCAAAGCCTCCCGACACATGTAAGTGAGGCGGACCAAAGTTGCGGGGTATTCTGAAGTTTAGCCGAAAAGTTCGCCATGTTTTAGCCTTAAATTTATTCCCTGCCCCTCCCTTGTAAAGACAGTGTTTTGACTCGTAACCAGGGTCCACGCTGTGCCCTGACACTTTTCTTGAGAAGCTTCCTTTCAAGCAAAGGGTGGCAATCATCCCCAAAAATTGAAAAAGTTATTTCAAACAAAAAGAATGACGCATGAGATGAGCAATTCAGTACAAACGAAACCCCGTTAGTAAATAAGTCTCTCTCCAACCTGTAAGCGCGCACAAAAATACCGTACTATTGCACGAATGGGAAAAAAACCTTCTTGTTCAGAAATTCCATCTTGCAATGTTTTTCATAGTACTATGTTGTCTTGAAAATGTTTCATTTTGTGCCTATCCCCTGTCTGCACTTACCTGGGGTCCTTTCCACTTGCTACAGTCTCAGATTTTTGACAACTCTGCTCATGAAATGATGAAGCGCGCGCATTTTATTTTCATTTCACGCGTGAAAAGACCCACTTGTCGCGACAAAATCTTTCCGAATTCTCATTGTTCTTAGCCACACAAAACGCTGAAAGATCGAAACCTAGTCAGATTTGTTGTTAGCATGCGCCATTTTGGACTACCAAAAAGTCCATCCGGAGCGGTGCTATTCCGTCGATCTCTAAGACTGTTGTCTGTTGTTGTTGCCATGGTTGTGTTGTTGCTTTATTCGTATAAAAAACGTATTTTGATTATCTAAGACATGCGCATCTTGATTTAGCAGACTTTTATGTTTATTAGTTGGCCGTAGTTGTCAATAACTAAGGATAGGATTTCCTTGCGCTTGCTTTGGTACCCACCCTTTGGAGTTTTTTTTGGTCCCCAGCTCCGTTTTTTTTTCCATGCTCCGTGTTTATTTCAAACGGTCTCACTTACCACTTGAGTTTTGGGGATATGAGTCCAATCGAAAAACAGTAATGAAAACATTTGCGTGATGTATATAATTTGTTCAATTTGCTAAATGATCGCAAAAGTAACATTACAAACACCGTGCAAAATGTTGATTTTATATATTATATATTATTAGATATTATTTCTGCTTTAAAATTACTTTTAGCTAACCCTTTCCCCTTATTCAGTTATTTATTCTTGGCGTCAAATTTCCTTGCGCTTCCTCTTCCAACACATACAAATTCTTCTTTTTCTTTTCATTTAAAGACAACTCAACTTCATGTATGCAGGAGCCCAAAGGCCTGGCACACGACAAATTCCGAATTTGTCCGACGAAATATAGTTAGGAGCTCATTTTAACCCAAGTACAAAAGAACTAACAATGAATAGCTATATAGTACTCACGTTGACAGAATTCATCTCTTTGATTCCATCCATCACTTTCTTGAATTTTACTCCAAATGACTCATGACGAGCCTAACTCCAACCAACGCAAAGTTATAATGACGGGTTGCAATTTTCGCGCGTCGTGATGACGTAACAGACGAAATAATTCACTAATCAACAGATTGGCAAGTATACGTAACTTCTGCCTCGTTTTCAGGCGCCTTCGCACTGGTTTAGGAGAGCGCGGGAAACTGCCCGAGTGCGCAGACTTCTGGAGAGGAGGATATTGACAGGTTTCAATAAACGTTCACTCATAGACTGCCTCTGCTTACTGAGGGTTAAATTTGTTAACCGCAGCTTTGTTAACACAGAGTTAAAATAGCGTTTCTCAAAGCGCGGTTTAAGGGCTGGTTAGTTAACCTTGAGTTACACGCGGCTAACCTGAGATTAGCAACCCATGATATTCTTTTCGTAAATTGTTGCAATGGTGAGTATGTTGCGAGCTACAGATTGGCCTCCCCTGCGGTCTTACGCAAAGCCAGTAGACAAAATTTCAGCGCGTCCGAAATAGCCATCTTAACGGAAAAAGTAAAGGAAAACCTTTTTATTACACAAAATAAACTTACAAACACCGTCATTCAAACCAAAAAAAAAAATGAAATATGGTGTAAAATTGCGGAGGCTGTCAACGCCAAAGGAGTTGCACAGAGGACGACTGCCGAGGTCAGAGAAAAATGGAAAAATTTACACTCACAAGCCAAAAAAGAGTTCACAGAACTGGCCAAAGAGCAGAAAAAAACTGGAGGAGGTGAGGCTCCGAGGGTACCGGTGGCGGCAATAGCCAAAATTATTGACCCTTTCAAAGAAACCCCATCATTCGCCGGCCTCGAGGGTTTCGAGTCGAAAGGTGACGATTACTATCCACTGTTGTTTAAAACTTGAATTTCTTATTACCTAAGAGTGCATAAGTTATTTCATTGTTTATAGGAAACAAGACAAATTTTCGGCTCATAAATTCCGCTACATGAACGACAGGAGTAGTTTATTTAGGGAGTGACTTGTTTTGTAGTGGGTAAACTATCATGGTGAGTAACTTGTGGATCAGTTGGGGTATGCATACCTTGAGAGGGTCGTGACATTAACTCTTTACACCCTAACATCAGTATGCATATTCTCCATACTGTACTCTATACATTTCTTAAGGTGCTGACCAGGAGAATTTGTTTAACAATCAGGAGCTTCTTTAGTTGGTGATCATTTCCTTTATTCTCATGATCTTAAATGAATGATTCAGCGGCTCTATTGTAAGGAGAAACTAGATGTTGGTCACTCTTAGGATTTAAAGGGTAAAAAAAATAAAACGCAGTATGTATAGAACATTGCAAGAAAATTCTTTCTATATGGCAAATAATAAAGAGCAAGATTGAATTTAACACCTCATAAGGTTCTGGCTTGAAGTTAATGTCACATCCTGTTTGAAAAGAAATACTCAAAGCACTATCACAGCCTCAAGCATGCTATGCGGCTTTCACCTTTGGCCTGAAACACCACCGGACCTATTTCCTTCGAACATTGCCTGATATTCAGGATCTTCTAGAACCACTCGAGAATGCAATATCAAATGTCCTTATTCCAGCAATAACGGAACATATCTGCAATTCAAGTGAGCGGGATATTATCGCTTTACCAGTGCGTCATGATGGCCTTGGAATCACGAGCCCCTGTCATGAAGCAAATCGTGAGTATCAATCGTCAGTTAAATTAAAGTAACCATGTCATTAGTTGAAAAAATTGTTTCCCAAACACATGAGCTACCAGAAGACTTCAATGTGTGCTCAGCTTAGCAGATAGCCCGAAGTGAGAGAGAAAAAGTACTTCAAAACTCAGTTGATCATATCAAGAACACGGTACCAAGAAAAATATCAAGATCTCTACTCTGGCTGAGAAAAAGCAGCATCCATTTGGCTATCAGCGGGGCCGATGAAAGAAATGGGATTCAACCGGAACAAGAGGAAGTTTAGAGACGCTATCAAGCTATGCTACGATTGGCCAGTTGACGACATTACCCACTCATGCGTTTGGGGCGAAGCCTTTTCTGAAGACCATGCCATGATCTGTAAGCGGGGGAACTGTAACTTAGTATAGTGTGTAATGTTCAGATAGAACGCATCCTGCAAGACATTACAGGCAAACAACTAAGTAGAAGGACAAACAAAGCCCCGGAAGCAAGACTGGGCATTAGTGCACGTGGATTTTTGGGAAAGACAACGATCTGCCTTTTTTGACGTTAGGGTATGTCACCCAAATGCAGACTTGTATCAAGATCTTGAACCACACCAGATCTACGAATATTGCACGAAAACGAGAAGAAGCCTCTATATGGGGAAAGAGTTATAGAAGTTGAACATGGTACATTTACACCACTGGTCTTCACCACAACCGGAGGTATGGGAAAAGAATGCAGCAGATACCCTAACCGACTAGTTGAGCTGATTTCAATTAAGGAAGAAGAGAGTTATGCGAAGACCATCTCATGGATTAGAGCTAAAAACAGTCTTTCTCATTATTAAGATCCACTTATTGTGTCTGAGAGGCTCAAGGACTATAAAGAAAGTCCCGTGCGACATTAAGAACATTGACATTGACACCCAAACAACAGAAAGCGCCATGTCCATTGAAACTTAGACTTCCATTCTTTTATATGTTCCTTTTTTAAAAAAAATTGTCTTTGTAAATATTGACTTTTAGACCATTTATTGTTCACAAGCATTTGAAAGATTGAATTCTAAATAGCTGCTATTTATGTTGAAAATTTTACCAGTGAACTCTTTTTTTTCTTTGGCTCTGCAAGTTCGTCGGAGTTAAAATACATTTTTTTACATAAAACACGATTTGTTTTTCATTCTATATCCACCTGTAAATATTCTGACTAAGTTGTGAATAAAGTTATTGTTACATTATTATTATTGTCATCTAATGATTAAAATACACAACCTAAAATTATCACATTTAACAAGAACATTATAGTTATCATTATGAAAAAGAACCAAATGGTGTACCATTGCGTAAAATACAATCTAATTAATAATAATTTTGTCGTTATTGACAAGGATGATGGTTATTTTCGGGTCTACTCGCTCTCCGACCATCTATACCAAGTTAATTACAAAAGGATCCCAACGGGGTGATGGTTTTACGGTAATGGTTAAAATTTTGGCATTTTTACGACTAATGGTTATCTCAAAATGACACAAAATGGCACATTCTAAGAGAGGAAAACATTTTTACGGTTATCTTTTCTTACGAATGACGGTTAAATTTATCAATTTTTTCGCCTAACGTTTAAATTTTATGGCCGTTTACGGCTAACGGCTAACCCAGTTGAGATCTTCTCACAAAGTGAGACAGCTTTTTTATTACAAAGTGTAACAAATGTTTTTACTAAGTGCAACGATTTTATTAGAAAGTACTTCAGAACAGAGGCAGACATGCAAACCCCTGTAGGAAATTTAATTTCCGCTGTGATTTGAAAAAAGTGTTATTGGAATATCGTTACACACAAATTTCTTTCCCCACTGCAGACTTATGAAGAAGGCGACATCCTTCCGATCTGGGGATAATGTCTGGGCCTAGAGTTGCTTTCAATGCTGGTTGCTAGGAGATATTTAAAAGTGGGGCAATTGGACCAGGAATTTTTCAGCAAAGTCGCTGCAAAAAATGTCAGCCTGAAATTAATTCTTCTAAGAAGTTGGTGCTGCATCTGTTTTACGATAATATAGCCAATCCGTATTTCAACTCTATTAAAGTAGTAACACCCCTGTTTTCTTTTTGCTTTGTTTTGCTTTGTTTGCTTTGTTTTGTTTTGTTTTGTTTTTTAAAAAAAGATGGATTCAAGTGATCCAATAACATCTTTAGAAAAGAATTCCAGAGACATTCCAAAAATTTTAGTCTGCATAGTAACCCTTTAGGCATTTCAAAACTCCTCCTGTAGGTTTAATGTTTTTATAGTCAAACGAACTTGTAGCACTTTACTTAGCTTGCGTTCTGGGACCCTCCATTAAAACGCTCTATATATTAAATTCACATTAGAGGGAAAGTTGGATCGTAAGATCACAGTTCGGTTTAAGTTGTCAAATAGACACAAATGATAGGGTGACCCTATAGTGATACAACTTATTTTCTTTCTGCAGATTATAAAACAACTTCTTTATGGAAATTTGCTCCAAGACACGTTGTGAAATTCTTACAGAAAAACAATGCAGCATACAAAAATCACAGGAAAGCCATCATGCATCACGCCACAGGTTACTTGAAATTTATTACTTCTATTCTTAACAGAGGAATCTAAGTTATTATTATTACTATTAATATTATTCATTTATAGTTTTAAGGGACCAGTCATTTTATTTTTTGCCTGGGCAGGGGAGGCGGAGGATTTTGGGATGGATCACATGGTTTTCATGGGGTCCGGTACGGGAATCATTCGTCGCCGATTGAAACATCGCACAATGGGGAACAACAGAAAATTTCCTGCTCATTAATTGTCAATAACGGAAGATCATAAGAATCTTAAAGTCAGCCTTGTGATGACGAAATCTGGTAAAATTTAATCGTGACACAACAAAAATCCTCCGATCCTCCACCCCCCTCCCTCCCCCGACGATAAATAACCACTGGTCCCTGAACCTAAAAAATTATCTTATTGTAAATTTAGAGATCTTTCGTACAAGGTTTTAATGTTGGTGACTTTGTAGATGCGAAAATAAGAACAATAAAAAGAAAGAAAACAGTAATAAGAAGCTTTAGCGCCCATTACAGGACCTCCACGCTAAAGGACAACACCCACGTGAACAGGGAGAAATTGACCTTAGCCTCGTGATTTAACCCTTAATCTAGGGTGACCGGTATCTGATTTCTCCTTTACTTACAACCCCTGAATCAAACATTGAGGTCACGAGAATAAAGGAAATGATCATCAACTAAAGAAGTTCTTGATTGTAAAACAAATTCTCCTTGTCAGCACCTAAAGAAATGTACAGAGAACAATGAGGAGAATATGCATATTAATGATAGAGTGTAAAGGGTTGTTAAATCTTTACGCCCCAACTTGTCTCAGATTATACATTGACTCATACTACTCTGTTCTTTCGCGCCAGAATTAAACAAGTAAAGATGTCTAAATACCTTTTTTATAATTGTTTCAACCGGGAAAGATGGCAAGGGGGTTGAACTTATTTCAATTATGGAAAGTAAGAACCGAAAGTATAAGGAACCCTAAAAAAACGAACACAAATGTCATAAGCTTCGTCCAGCTTCTATTTGGTTTCCTCGCCACATTAGTCAATGTAATGTTTTGTGTAAATAGAAAAACTAAATAGGAAGAATTCCTTTATCATATGCTTTTGGCAAATCTTCAGAAAAAAAAAACAGAGGTAGACTTCCCTCTTAAAGAGCTTGCTTAGGAGTGATGACAAGAGTCCAATTGCATTATTTACGGGTAAGCGTAAAATGATATTTTAGTGGCACTATTGTTGTAATGATCCGCTGACCGAAAAAAAATCTCAGTAATCAAATTACACAAAACGAGTGGATCGAAATGCAGAAACGGAACCAGAAAAAAATAACGGAAGCTCAGGCCACGATCATTTCTATTCAAAGCACATGTTTCAAGACGGGAAAAAAACACTTCCCTACATACGCGGAATCAGAGTCAAAATAACATGTCACACAACATGTCACAACAAAAAATGAACAACATTTGAACTTTTTAAAAAACTTTCATCTTGTTTTGCCTATAAATTGAATTGAGTTGGAATCATTGTTAATCTCCTATAGTTTGATTGGTTAATTTTGCTTAAATGATCCTGGTAACAGCAGTGGTACTGTAAACTTATGAGAGTACTTCGATCTGGACATTTTCTATTCTGAGCTCGTAGTATCAAGGAAAAGATACTTTATTAATTAATAACCCTTTCACTGCCTTTAGTGACCAGGGGATTTTGAACCATATTTACAGAACTGCCTCGAAAGGTCCGCAAAGGTGGCTTAACACCCAATAAGCACAAAGTCTCTGAGCATTAGACAGCTCACTCGAACTCCCCTGTGTCTCGTTTTTTTTTACGTTTCCCATAACAGCTCAAATACACGGAGTTCCATTTAACTTCGTAAAAATTGAACCTGATTTCCAAGAACTTTCTTGAATCTTGCCTTTCTGGAATCTGCCGGCGCTTAAACTTGAACCCTGCAGGGTCGCTACGAATGTTGGGTCGAAATTTTGCCGAGCTGAAGAACCAAGAAACAAAGGGGTTCGTATTCTTTCCGATCAGTAAAATTGCATGACTTTGCAGGATTTTTTACAGGACTTTGTTGATGTTTTCCATCAAAATTTTTACCAAAACGTTGCTTTCACGGATGAACGCGATCATTCGATTGGGGCATTTTTTCTTTATTGAATATTCTGGGAAAGTCCGCGGGAAAAATTTCACGAAAATCTAGGTTGACGCTGAGTTCATTAACCATTGTGACAATAGCTTTTTTGGCTGCTGCATATTCTCAGGTTTTCTGGCGGGAACGCTATTAAATCGGAGGAAAATAGCTCAGTAAAGAAAAACTTTGCCGGCGGGAACGAAAACTCGATATCATTTCCAGGCACACGGAGATCAACCTCGACGGCGTTCTCGTGGAGCTCAAGCAGACAAGGACTTTTCAAATAGTCAGCACTCGGTTCCAACAGCAATTCATTTAGAACTCCTCGTAATAAGTTATGGTAATAGGACTGAGTGGAGTCCAGTTCGGTCGGTAATCGTACGAGTGATAACAAAATCGGACGACCACCCAGCGGGAGTCCGATTTTTTTCATCAAGAGTATGATTACAGACCGAATTAGACTACACGAAGTCTTATTACCAATTTATACCAATTTATCATAAAAATTACAATTTTTATGAAAAGAAGAATAGCCAAGTTATGAAAGAAAGGGAAAATCTGCAAAAAGGACTGATTGGTTGATTTAAACTACAACTATTAATGTGATTGGCGTATTGAACTGTCTGATAACAACTTAACAAGTGAATTAGCAGAAAATAGGAGTTTTTTAAACCAATCATAATCGAAGAAATCGTAACATTTATGATTATCGATGTAATAATAATCAGAAAAGCCACACAATGTACTAGCTTGTATGCTTTCTTATACCTCTGAAGCGTCTACCATTTCCACACTGCATTTCCTAGCACAAAATACGAGTAAAATGCACTTAGGTCAAAAGAACGAAGTAACAAGTTTGAAAGCGTTCACTATAAAAAAATTCACAACTTGAAATTAGAAGACGAAGCAAAGCTAGTTAAAGGGAAATAAAATCTTGTTATTATTTTTAGGATTTGCCTAAGGCTTTTTAAGGAATCTACAGACGCCGTGGAGGAGACAACGAAAATCATCAAGTTATCCTAACTGGTTTTTTGACAGCCCACGTTCCGTATGTTTGAAAAAGAGCCAGGAAAACTGGGTCGACTGCACAAAGTGAAGGCTATCAGAAAACCCCTCCATTTGAATAAAAATAATCAAGCAAAACAAAACAAAAACAAGAAAATGATCAAAACAGAAATCGGTCTTACGAGTTTGTTTTGAAAAATTTTGGTAGAAACATATAAAAAAAGAAGAGAACAGCTAATCTAAACAACACAAACCACGAACAAGTCTAATCCACCTGTTCGGAAAGGTTTTGATGTCAAAAAAAATACTGAACACGGGCTGTTACGAACCATATTAATTCAACATTTAATCTCGTAAGTTGTATGCGAGTGTTCTGGTTATGTGACAAAATAGTTGCTTTCATTGTCTCGTCTGGGAATCTTAGCAATTCAAGAAAATGACTTGTAACTATTTGCCACTTCTACATTCTTAGATCCTAGATATTTCACACAAATGCTCAAAGCAAGTTCGTGATACTCCTTGGCCTTTTCAAAGTTACCCGGTTTGCAGTGCACCAGACCCAAGTTATTGTAACTGTTTGCCACTTCTACATTCTCAGGTCCTAGATTTTTCACATAAATGCTCAGAGCAAGTTCGTGATACTCCTTGGCCTTCTCAAAGTCGCCCAGTTTGCAGTGCACCAGACCCAAGTTATTGTAACTATTTGCCACTTCTACATGCTCAGGTCCTAGCTTTTTCTGTCTCATACGCAGGCTAAGTTCGTTATGCTCCTTAGCCTTCCCAAAGTTGCCCAGTTTTTAGTGCACCAGACCCAAGTTACTGTAAATAATTGCCACTTCTACATGCTCAGGTCCCAGCCTTTTCACATCAATGCTCAGAGCAAGTTCGAGATACTCCTTGGCCTTCTCAAATCGCCCAGTTTTATGATGCACCATACCCAACTTATGGTAACTATTTGCCACCTCTACATTCTCAGGTCCTAGCTTTTTCTGTTTTATACTCAGACCAAGTTCGTGATACTCCTTAGCCTTCTCAAAATCGCCCAGTTTGTGGTGCACCAGACCCAAGTTATTGTAACTATTTGCCACTTCTACACTCTCAAGTCCTAGCTTTTTCTGTCTTATACGCAGACTAAGTTCGTTATACTCCTTGGCCTTCTCAAAGTCGCTCAGTCTGTGATGCACCAGACCCAAGTTATAGTAACTAGTTGCCACTTTAACATTCTCAGGTCCTAGCTTTTTCTGTCTAATGCTCAGAGCAAGTTCGAGATACTCCTTAGCCTTCTTAAAATCGCCCAGTTTGCGGTGCACCAGACCCAAGTTATTGTAACCACTTGCAACCTCTACATGCCCAGGTCCTAGAACTGTCTGGTAAATACTCAGAGCAAGTTCGTAACATTCTTTGGCCTTCTCGAAGTCGCCCACTTTGCGGTGCAGCAGACCCAAGTTATAGTAACTAGTTGCCACTTCTACATTCTCAGGTCCTAGCTTTCTCTGTCTAATATTCAGAGCAAGTTCGTGATACTCCTTGGCCTTCTCAAAGTTGCCCAGTTTGCGGTGCAGCAGACCCAAGTTATAGTAACTAGTTGCCACTTCTACATTCTCAGGTCCTAGCTTTTTCTGTCTAATACTCAGAGCAAGTTTGAGATACTCCTTGGCCTTCTTAAAGTCGCTCAGTTTGAAGTGCACCAGACCCAAGTTATTGTAACTAGTTGTCACTTCTACATTCTCACGTCCTAACGTTTTAAGAAAGGCTTGTAATGAAAATTCATAAAATTTCCTAGCGGCCTGAAAATGACAATGGTTCTCACATATCTTGCCGAGCTTTCTCATTTCAGGCTGGACGATTTGGGAAAGGGCATCTTTGGAAAGTACGTTTTCAAAACTAAGAATGAAATACTTTAAAATGAAGGGCAAGGGCGTAGCTTTGCAAAATTGAATCTGACGATTCCGTCGGTAAGCTGTCATCTATGAACTGGTTAAACGCCGCAACGGCGCTATTCAAAGTTTTAATGTGACGGCTTTCCGGATAGCCCTTATTCAAAGACTTAATGACATCGCGCACAACCTGATGTACCCGAATGTGGAAACCAAACTCATCTTCATGTGATAAAAGTAGCGAACATCTTTGGAGTTTCATAATTATCATCTCTTCATCGTTCATTCCTTCATCGACGTTTAAGATATAATTCACCACGACATCCACATTTGAGGGCTATGACGAAGTGAGGGAGAGAAAACTTAATGCATGGTCTATGAATCTTTCATTCTAACAGAGAAGAAGCCTCAAGAAGCCTCAAGAAGCAGTAAATAACCACAACAAGCTGTAGGCCATTACGTGAAAATACATAAAAGTTGATCCTTTCCTTGGAGTGCATTTTTGGCACAAGAGTCGTGGATTTCGAATGTGAACGTACCAATTTAAGATTACGTAGCAGGTCGTCTTACATTCTTTACTAAATGATTCAGTTTACATGCACCCTAACTAGGGCGCTGTCATTGGTTGTGATTTTCACTTGTTCCAACAGAGGCATGTATCAAGCACAAACAATCGGTAAACTGTAAAATGAATGTTGATCATCATCATTTCTTGTGATTTGTAGAGGCAAAATCAAATTAACACTGTTATTGCCCACTTATAAATAATTCCCAATGAGACATTGCACTTGTTTAGTGAATCTTTGGTAGTAAGCCACCAAGTGCACGAAAACAACATTAGCAGACATAGACGGAAAAAAGAGTCAGTAATCTTACCGCAAGAGTTGATCTCACATCGTGTAATCACCCGTAGCGAAGGTGGAAAATGTCTCAAGCAGGACTCGCTGTTTATCACCACAGTGCAAGATGT